TACGAAGTTGTAACTAGCTTGCTGCTAGTAATACGTCTCTGTGAGATTCGAACTCACGCTCTTCCAACCAAGGTTGGAAAAACACCTGTCAAGCCAACTAAAAAGTTAACTATAGACCGAGACGGGGGGAAGAAATCGAAAGACAAGGGCGAACTTCACTTTTTTAGGCAACAAAGACCGTATAAAGTTTGGAGACCCCGCCTTTTTCGTTTGGGATGAACGAGATTTTACCGTTCTAGAATTGGCATTATCAGGGTGTCTTTGCTTACGACTGCCTAGACAGTAATAAGCGAAAAACAATATATGGTGTCAAGTACAAAGCTGTACGGAGAACGAGTAACATTGTTTCCAGCACAGAGTGATGACTTAAAGGCGTTCAGTCAAAAACTCATTGAACAAGCACATCTTCGCGAAAACAGGATCAGAACACCGATCACAAGAGAGTGGAGGCTTGAATAAAGTAATTTATCTTGCGAAAAAAAACTCTATTTGCTGTTACAATATCGGGTACCAGCTAGCAAGAAGTAGACTAGTACATCATGACAGTCGGACCAAACTCTATACTGACTCTTCTACTTGGGCTAAATAGGCGTCCCAACTTGTTAAATCAGTCATACCCAAGACACATGGATGCCTATCGCACGGGTTGAGTTGGTTTTATTATAGGTCAACTGCGTCGCTAGAACGTTCGGCTGTCAGCCCATAAAAAACCAGTCTATCTGATCGTCTTTGAACCTCAACATCTGACATCAACGGGGAGGAGAGTATAGGGGGCTCGCCCTCAGTCCGTTTGGCTTGTCATAGAGAGTGGTGGTATTTCATTGGCGCCCGGTGGCTCCCACCTATGCTACACCTCTCTATGACGGATTGACCACGTTGTACCAGATGTCAGAATAGAGGAGACCAGAGTAGACCGGTGTTTCTTGTTAGCCGTTCCCAGAGCCATTAACTGGGTGTGGTTTGGTTGGCCGCTTTGGTTTTCACCGCAACGACGTCACTAGAGGCTTTCTTGACAAGCTGATGTCAAGGCTGACCCTTTCGGGTCAGACTTTTTCGTTACTATTAACTACGCAATGTTAGTAAGAGTTTCAATGAAATAAGGGTATTTTTTATTTTATTTTGTGATTACTTACATTCACTTCTTGGGAAAATGCATTTAGGTAAATGTCAAAGTAACATTACTACAAATTACATTAATAAATTCATCGTAATTAGCATAACATGTGTGAAATGTACTTTCTTTAACGATTTTGTTACTTACATGAACATTTCTCTGTGTTGTGTTTATGAGAAAGACGAGTTTTCTTGCCCTCACACTGAAGAGCTATTTTTCTATACGCGTGAATGAATACGCAAGATATGACGTAAACACTAATCGTCCAATAGAATAATTCCACATGTTAGCGTGTGATATCTATGTGGCTTATTGTTTATATATAATTATTCCATGTGGTACTCCTTTGTGAAGCAAACTTTGTGCATGAAGAAGAACAATAAAGTAGTGAAGCTTTCTGTCAGTAAAGAAGAACCCAAAAGGGGAATTTAAAGGTAGTACTCAGGTACCAGCAAGTTTAAAGGCCTATTAAAGATGAGCTTAAAACGTATAAAAAGAGATTCTGTGGCCTTGTACTTCTGTTATGTAGCCAATACCGTCTTCTCATCTTACATAGCCGCAACAGCGACAGAATTGTTAGCGAATTAAAGGACTGGAATAATATAGCAGTATATATTCTAAAGCTGTAGATTATAACTTTTATGATTTCCAAGTAGGATATTCTATCAAGAGCTAGTTGTACATCTTTCTCATATTCAAGTGCCGGATCGTGAACTTAATCTGTAATACAAAAAAAGAGCGATCAAGTTTGCTTTTTGCAAAGGTCAAGATTGCACGAACAAAGTGGAAAGGAAAGCTCTAGTTCACAATAAAGTGTTTGTCAATATTATGATCCGTTTGGTTAAAGTACTAAAGACCTCGATAGTTAATCGTTCATATTTTCTCAAAGTTTATGGAATTAATACTGATGTATTTGTGCTGATGTTTCAAATAGGTTGCCAAAAGTATATAAGCGCTTTTCTTTTCTTTTTCTAAAATATAAACTCTTGAGATCAGATAAAGATGTTTATAGTTATTTGTTGATCATAGACTTAGATCTATACAATAAAGTTTTGAAGCCGTTATCAAGGTATGTATTGGCAAGTGAGGATACTCTTCTTTTAACCTAAATATGTTTCTTGATTTATTTCATCAAGATAATGTCGGGAGAAATGATAGCTTATTCTTTATTACTATATATATATATCTATATCTATAAAACTATGCCAAATCGATCCAATTAATTTTCTTTGGGAAAACTGGAATTCTATAAGTTTATATATATATATATGTATGTATGTATGTATGTATTAACCAATGCCCTTCTATGAAAATGTGTAGGTACTAAATTATCTGTTAGCCTGTTAGGCCTGCGATTATTTAAATGCAACAAATAGAATGAAGATCTCTCTATGTATTGCACTCCAAAAGATTTTATACGATTTATATGCTTCTTCTACTTTTACTTGAATTTGACTTCTACTCTTGTGAGATGATATGTAAGCCAATAATTATTCAAGAAAAACAAGTGCAATTGGCATTGGACTATCTTTATAGAAGCCGAACATTTTTAGGCTCTATTATCCAGTCTGATGAGATAGTATTCTGCTTTTATGAAAGTGACATATGACAACAAGCAATTAGGTATAGATTTACTGGCTTTCCTCTTGATATATTTGTACTAGCTACAAAGGCTGGTGATTATTACAATGTGACACAAATGCTCTTTTTTCTTTTAAAAAATATCCTTGGGTTGCTTTCTTTGTGAAAGGAAATGTTTGATCCAAGATGTGTATCAATACTTTGAGGGAAATTTTTTCTTTTGAGACACTTGTTTTTTTCTTATAAATAATATCTTCAAAGTGGGAAAATTAGATGCCACGAGTGCTATGTATTAAAAGAGAGGTATTGTTTTCTATTACTATCCAAGTTTCCTTGTAACCCAAAACCTTGCTTTTGAACTGTTATTTTACTTTGTATAAGTGCTAAGTATATGTGTGCCTAGTGTGTAATGGTCCTTAAGGTTACCAACCTGTCAGAATCATTAACGGGTAAGAATTAGAGTTTGATCGTGTAGTCTGTACTTTACTCGATTACAACGTATATACTATAGCTCTTTCCACACATCTCTAATTTTAAACAAGGTTGATTATGAGGGGGGGTTTGTCAATATATTCATACTGTCTTCGCTGCCCATTTATTCTTTTTTCTTTACATCACTTTACTCATGTTATAAACATACCTTTTTTCTGATCGTTATTATGGAGATCATTGTAGTAGTGGAGCGAATCCTCTTACCCTCCTCTGCTGTACTCCAGCATATTTTTAAAAATTGTCCTCCAAAACAAAGATCTCTTATCTACCTCAATGGAAAGTATTATGATTATTTTAACTAGCGTATAGAAAGCATGTTTTCTGATGGAAAAATTTAGTTCATCCTCAGTTTTTCCTCATAAGCTTTCATTCTTTATTGAATTAGTCGTGAGTGCCAGCACTTAGTGAACTGATTTCTTCTTCTTTCTTGTCAGGTGTTTGAAGCAACCACTGTCTGTGACTGTAACATTTTTATGTCTCGGTCTTGACTACATGCGTTATTTCATTAAGATTGGATTATGTTCTTGCTTCAAATCCAGAATAAAATGGGATTCATCTCTTGGTGTAGCAAGTGTTTGGAATTTCAAAAGAGATGGTATTAGAAACAGAACCAATTGTTCTGCTTTACTCAAAGGCACATCCAACTGTGATTCTTGACACATTCAAATTATTCGAAATGGTTGGTAGAATTCATTCTACGATTCTCATGGCTCCTGACGATGATGAATTATTTATTCTTTTTTCTTCTTTTCTTTTTTCCAGATAGGAAAAGCTAAATTCGAAAGAGCAATAGAGTTATAATTTTATGCTTCTTGGAACAATGCTAATTTTTCTCTAAATAATTTTAAAAGATTATGAAGAAGAGGTACAATGTAGTTGGCTTGAAGGGAGGGAGGAAGAAGTACATAATATAAATCTGAGAAAGAAGGAAAAGGTATAAAAACCTATTCATTTTTATTGTGTTAAAGGATGTTATATAATCCATAATTAAAGTAAATGAATGAGAATCTAGAGGCATTAAACGAAAATCCACGTGCACATACATTATTAGTACAGTTCACAGCACATATAACAGTAGTATTTGTATATATTTCCAATGAGATCCATGGACTTTTGTTTTTACAGATAAAATATTATAATACTTTCTCTTGTGGATATTCAGACCGTCCATCTTTTTTATTCTCGTCAAAGAAAGATCTTGGAACAAGATTATAAGCTGTGTATTGATATTGCTGAAATTTTTAAATTACTTGGATATATATTATTATTAGTAATAATAAATGCAATGTAAGTCCTTTTTTCTTTGAAACAAATGTGTCTCACTACCAGAGAAGTAATCCGTTTGCTTAAAAAATGGGGTGTGTCTTTCTTACAGCAAAAAATATGAAACAAGAGAGAGAGAACCTAGATAAACAAAGCTTATAACTCTTTAAGTTAGAGTAGACTAATTAGAAACACGTAATATTTTTGAAAGAAGTAGAGGACTTGATTGGAAAGTGTCTTACACACTGACCTTTGCTATCATAGATTTATATGCATATCGACTGTCCAAGGTAATTCTTGTAAGCAGATTGGAGCAGATGTAGCCGTGACTGAGAAAGGCAATGAATATTTGTATTGAAAATATATTCTGTTGATGAGGCCAGTGCTCAATCATGTAACTAGCTCACACGTAATGTGTTACCTAAAACAGAAAAGTCATATAGTTGAAATTTATGATGAAACAATAAAAGAAAAAGAATTCAAAAGAACATCTCATTGGAGAAGGAAGATATATACCTATAGTAGAATTGCGAATACATATCAGTGAGTAATGTTATATATTCACAAGTTTCAGGTATATAGTATCCCATTCATACTGTTTATTAATAATGCCTGTTATTTTTAAATGTAAAACAGAATTTATATATATAAATATTGCACGTCTACTATTAAAAGAAAATTCAAGAATCTCAAATTACTAATCTTGGTCGAGGGTTGTCTTTGTATTGTGTCTTGTAAAACAAGATTAGCTGTGCCATCTTTTCAAAGTGTCCCAAATTAACAGATATTCATAATAATAATATTAATAATACTTTTGTCAATAATAAACAATATGCACATCTTTTATATATTGTATGTGTGTTTCCATGGAGATAAATATATATACTGTATTTCCGCCGTCAATTGGTCACTTTTCTGACCGTCACTTGGTCATTTTTCAGAACTTCAATTGGTCAATCTTATTTTTTTTGCTATAACATCATGTTATAGCAAATAATGCTTTTGATTAGCTAATTATTAGCTGTTCAGTTTGATATTTTAAGAGCTATAACCAGTTGTTATAGATATATGTTTTTTCATATATTTCCGTGTTATACTGTTGTTAGAGCATCCACAGTGGTATGTGTAACTAAAATAATTACGTAAAATAAAAAAGCCGCATTTAAAAGAGATAATTTAGACCATCCACAGCGGTCTGGGTAAAATTAGCACTGTATGTAAAAAAGGCACCGCCTTATTTTCTGCCGGTTCAAATTTGAAATTGACCTTTTGAGGCTTTTTTCTGTCGGAGGCTTTGCAAGTGGCTTTATGAAAAGTTAATTTTCTATTGGGAATTTTTTTTTATTCCTTCTCTTTTCCTTCTCTTCTCCTTCTCTTTTCCTTCTCTTCTCCTTCTCTTTATTTCGAATACAAATTAAACACCAATCTCAACATGTCCAACCCAATTATTTACGATATTTCAAACATTCAAAATGTTTTAGTCAACTCGTCTTTTGAGGTGATTAAGATGCTTCCTTTTAAAGTAGTCGTACCTGTAAAAGCTAGTGAATGGAGACGTTGTCTTGACCGAATCAATACTTTGTTCAACGAAATGGAATAAAAAAAGACGTCTTGTTTTAAAAGAATATATTTTTGGAGAAACGCGTCAGTGCCATCGTGCGGGCATATATATACCAGAGCGAGATTCACGCCCTGCACAAAAAGAATCAAAGGCATGCGGATGTAATGGAGCTTTGAAAATAAAGCAGTTCAAAAAGTCTCCTACTATTGTTACGTTCTGTATGACAAGGGACCATAACAATCATGTTCCTGGAGACAGATCAGAGATTAGAACTTTGCCCTTGCCTTTTGAAGCTATTAAATTGATTGAAGATCAACTGAGAAGTGAAGCAGCTGTAGAAGCACAAGAATATCTGTCCTTCGACAGATTGACAGCTGGGGTGTTGGTGTTAGAAAGCCAAACTACGAAGAGATATACAATAGAATGAAGAAGGTGTGTTAAAAAAAGATGAAAGGAAGTTCGTATTTAACAGTTTTGGTAAAATGAAATAAAATAGATGACAAATTTGTTGTATATGTTCAACTCTGATGAGAAGGCATCTATTGCTATCTGGATGAATGAGAAATTGCCAGAAAGAAGTTATTGCATTTTTACCGGAGACCTTCGTGTTAACAACATTGAAAGCAATCTTTTCGCCTTTGGCTTTCAATCGCCTGTCCAAGTGAGAGTTACGAGAATAGCCACATCATTCTGCCTTGACGCTACTCATGGCATATCAGCAAGAAGTGGAGAGGTCATGTACTCTTTAGTGACTCAACACAACGTAACTGGAAAAGGGTTTCCTGTTGCTTACATGGTTACAAATGACCAGACAGTCAGGCCGATCAGCCAATGGCCTATGCATCTTTGTGAGAGAAGCTACTTCCGTCCTTTGAATATCACCATTGACTGTAGTATTCCCGAAGTTAATGCGATTACATCTGCATTTCCTCACGTTGCAATTCACTATTGTGAATTCCATATTCTTCGTGCTTGGCAAACAAACCTCGACAACAAAGTAAGGCTTGATGCGTCATTTACATCAGCCCAGCTGGCAGCATACAAGCAGGAGTTAAAGAACAAGCTGAAGTATATCTTGATGGAGTCGAACGAAGAAGTATTTTTGACGAGAATCCTTGACTTCAAACGCGATATACCCGACCAGTTACACTTCTTGAGATACTTCGAAACACGATGGAATGGAAGCGAAGTATTGCTTAAAAGATGGGGGCGCCCTTATGTCGATGACTCACATAGAAGATATTTGACGAATAACTACATCGAGTCATGGCATAACCAGCTCAAGACCATCTACTTTGGCCGTGCTAGAATCAGAAGACTGGATCGCCTTGTGTTTGACCTTACGAACGATGTAGAGTATTTCTACGAACAAGAAGTGGATTGTATTCACTTAAACAATGGAAAGATGGGACCGGTAGAAAAACGAACTTGCAAGAAATGAATTTGTTGCATCCAAGATAGAAGATGACATACTCCCTTCTATGATCATCAGTCCATTAAATGTGATTAGTACTAGTATGGGTAACTCTGGTGGCAAGTGGCAAATCAAGTCTTTTACAAATAATACAACATGATAGTCTATCACTGTTGTAAATGATTTAATCGAATGCTGTTCGTGTCCCAGATACATCTCTCGACAAGTGCCTTGCAAGCATGCATTTCTTCTCAAAAGATACCGTAAGATTAACGTCTTATATACAATTCAAAAAGATGCCAATCACTTGGCAATGCAAAGACCAGCAGTGTTAGCTAAAGAAGAAGAAGAAGTTGTGATTGTTGACGAAGAAGACAGTAGAGAAGATGCTGTAGGTGCTCAAAATGATGTTGATACGTCTATTACAGACCTTACTTCATCATCAAAGACTCGATCTCGAACACATGCGAACGATTTCTGACATTGATGTGTCTGAGATAAATGATATGACTCGTTGTGTTAAAGAATTGTTAGATAGAATAGATAATATTAGAAATATGAATACCCAACGTCAATAAAAAAAAAACATTACACATGTATTATTTTGTATTTTATAAAGAAGTGTTTTTTTTAAGGATTTTATTTTTATCTTTTTTTTAAAAATAGACAATATATTTATATATATTTGTCACAAGAACAATCGACTGGATTCTATACATGTATAAATATAGACATAAAACTGTATATGTTTTACTGCGAGATTATTTTTTTTTATTATATAGCATATTATATATATATATATATATATATATATATATATATATTATAAAACCTTAATTATAACTTTTATTTCAATTTTTTAAGAAAAAAAAAAGTATATATAAAGGTGGATTGAGGAGTTCTTTAGAAAAATCATTCTTTCTTTACCTTTAATACACACAAAAGTACAGAATACAAAGTACAAAATACAAAATGGCACAGAATATCCACATTCACGTATTCAGCACGGAGACCTATCCTCACAGGCAGTCAGAGTTCACACCTTACATGCACTCTCCACTATATTCAAAGACCATCCCATTACCGAGCCTGCTTCAGCCCAAGTATATCAGGCGGCACAATTCATGGGCAACGGCTATGGAGACAATTCCAGAAGAAGAAGACCTTTCTGACGACGGACACACCATAATCGAAAACATCAAGAAGAACTATTAAACATATAGTTCATTAATATCTATCTATCTATCTATCTATTTTATATATATATATATGTGTATATTTGTATTTGTATTTACTATCTTAATTATTTATTTCATCTAAAAAAAAAATCCTGCACACTCACACATGCACAAAACCCTCCCTCTACTCCATTATCAAACTTGTACACACTCTCATAATATCTTCTTTATTTTTCTCATAATAAAAATGAAGCACATGAAAAATATTTTAATATTCGTATCTGTATCTATGTCTGTATAAAGCTATTGGTTTGATTCGTTCGCATATCTTTGTTATCAAATTTCACAAGACCTCCAGGTCTGGCAGCTGGTACAGATATTCTTTGGTCCCTACATCATTGCGGTTTGTGTATAAAGTCTGGTCTCTATACCAAACAAGGCTATATGTGTAAATATACATTTATATTCGTTATTGTTTTAGATTCTACAATTGACGTATTTTATCCTATTACAGCTGATTTTTCAAGTGTTATTGACAGTTGAAAAAGCTCATCCCACGATTCTACAGCGCCTATAGTCTTGATAAATATTCTATTTTTGGTCAAAGTAGGTGCACGTACATGATGCCATCATACTTGTTATTATCATTCTCAACTCTGACATACACAGATACACCAACACACATACCAGTATATGCTTGTTGTCTGATGCAGATTCCTTTTGTGGTTATTTTTATTAGTAATTTTTTATTATATATTACACTACAGTATGATGTGTGTGTGTGTTTTTTTTGTAGGTTTAGTTTAGTCTAGCCTCGTCTAGTTTATCTTGTTTCAATTTGTGTGTAAATTGTCATGATTTGTTTATATATTGATATTAATTGATTGATTGCTTTCTTTTGAATATATACTACTCTAATTATCTCCACCCTCAGGCATCTCATAACCTTCTTCAGCCAGCCAGAGAGCTACGATTCTCATACACGCCTGCGCAACTGGGTCATCTTCTGACTCTTCAGGCAGGGTTGTGTTTTGTATAAACTGTAATAATTCCATGACAACATCCATTGTGTCCGACAGTGTGGTACGAAGCTTGAGTAACATGTCTGGATCCATTTGACTCTCTTCATTTTCGTCAAAGCTCTCTGACAGATACTCGATCGCACCCTCAAGGATCTCGAACAGCAAGGGCAACACGACCTTGTGCCGTTTATCTGCTTCTACCTGTCGAGGTGTTGTTTGATTATGTGCGGCCTGTCGAATGTCGTTTATCTGGTCCACCATCACGCGTGCCTCAACTGACACAATATGAATCAATAGAGCAGGAAAATTGGCCTCTGCGTAGTATTCCTCTGCTGCCTTTTTGTCACCATCTTGATCTTTTAATCTACGAGCCTGTTTTGTACGCAGTAAGGGACTGAATAGCCATTGTGAGCCATAGTAACGCACAAGACATGCTGTAACCAACGTAGCCTGGTCCCGCAGTTCATCACCTGCGAGTACACAAATGTTAGTATCACAAATGGATATATTTGTCAAGACTCTTTCTTCCTCTTTCTCTCTCTTTTCTCCTCTTTATCCGTGTGAGTGTATCTGTGTATCTGTGTTTGTACACTCAACTACGCCACATCGATGTAACATACCAACTTTGTTGGTCACAATCTGGCGCAGACCTCGTCGGATATTGACTAACCAAGTGGCTTCAGGCTCGACTTCTTTCTTGTGTGCCTGCACTACCTCATCCGGGAGATCGGGCAGAACATTGGCCAAGATATCAAGACAATAGAACTTAAGCTTGGCTTGGTCCTGGTTAAACACGGATGCCAGAATACCAAATAAGGTCTTTAGAGAGTAACGCAGGCTAGACATCAGACTTGGAACCTTGGCCTCGTGTAATCGGTGACATGTTCGGCCGTAGATTGCCTTGATCAAATCAACACACAGCTTACGCTCCTCCTCTGTAGTAAATGATTTAGTTTAAGGTAGATCAAGTTAACCAACCATTTCATCCTTCTCTTGTTGATAGTATGGTGGCAATCAAGTGCGGGGTTTATATGTTTATTTCAATACCTTTTTCAGTTTCCACAAAAACCTCAAGGATATTCTTGAGCACATCAGGATCCAGCATCTTTACCAGGCCTTCCTTATTCACAGCCACACATAATAATATGTGTAGGATTTCTTGGGTTAAATCCGACGAATCACTAGAAGATTGACATTTTGTATATAGATTTATATTTTAATAAAATTACAAAATAAACTTCATTTTCTTTTCTTTACACAATTGCTTGTTTTTTATTTCATTTACTTTGGTGTCAGTATGATTGACAAGCCAGGAATCTTGTCTACCATTGGTTGACTGGTGGCCATTGTCTCATAGCGAGCAAAACAAGCCAAGATATTCACTGCAATTTCTCGCAGGACTGATTCCGGAATCTCTGCATTTTCATTCTTGGCTATTCTTGATCACCCAAATAACAATAAAAAAGTATGTATACAATATTTCCATATATATATATACATTTATATATAAACAATTGTAATTGTAATTGTAATGGTAATGGTAATGGTAATGGTAATTTTATTTAATTTTATGTAAAAGGAGGACGTGATGTAATGAGAAGGGAAGAAGGGGTTTTTTGTTTCTTTTCTTTTCTTTTCTTTCTTTCTTGCTTACGTGTTCTTAAAAGGCGTTCAATAAATTTGAAATTCATTTCGTCAAATACATGTTGAATCTGTTCAACATTATCTTGTTGAAGTAGACGTGGCAGGACAAGCATGCCTACAAATTTGGATTCATCTGAAGAAGAAGGACCGATCATTCCCAGACACCGATCTATCTCGGCCATTCTATCTTTATCCGAATGACTAACGTTGGCTGTCATAATCTCGAATAATAAAAAAGAAAAAAGTTTATCTGGAAGCGAATCTCAAAGGAAACACCAATATTACTTTTGTCTATCAATATAAATAAAATATAATGTAATATAATAAAAAGAGACGAGGCGGGCTATTAATGTGACGTAACATCCACCACACGATGATATCAGAGCATCTTATCTTATAGACGCTATGACCTTTGACTCTTATATAAAGCAAAGGGGTATTTCTTCTTTCTTTTCTTGCTCTATCTTTTATTTAATAAGCCAATAAAACAATAAACATAATAAAATCGAAAATATGAACCCAACTTCAATCATCCCCAGAAGTATTGTTTCCAAGCAAGTCGCCAGAATGGCTATATCCTCACCAGGAGTCTGTTCTTCCAGTGCTACTCAATGCATCAAACGCCACTTTGTAAAGGACTCTGGAGAGCAACCATCAACCTCTGGTACTACCGAAGAAATAAAGAATACCGACACTGCCTTTGACAGTACAGTCGATCCCAAAAAAGAAATTAAAAAGATGGATAAAGAAACCGACAAACCTGGATCACCTTTGGAACGGAGCGGTGCCAATGAAAAGGCCACGCCAACCACTTCAAGAAAACAATAATCTCTTTTCGTTAGAAAAAAACGAAAAGGAAATCATTATTAAGACATTAGCTTGGAGTAGTGTATTGAACAAAAAACACCGATTTTGCAGCCACAGTCTTCACACCTACAAAGTATTGACTATAGCCTTGTGTATATAAGTATATAAAATAAAAATAAAAATAAAATCCAAGGGCTTTTTATTATTACTATTATGTGTAGTCTGTTTTTTTTTTGGAGAGGGTTTTAAATAGGCAGAGTTCAGTATAGCTCAAGTAATTAATGAACAAGATCTTGATACATCGAGATACACTTGTGCGTATAAAAGAGGTATTGTAGCTCTTGGATTCACAATTATTATAAATCAAGGAAAGATGACTTCTATTTTTGAACCAGAGAAACAAAACCGTCTAAAGACTCACTAAATAAAATAAAGTGATATATACAGTCAAAGCTCGATTTAGTAATATTTGATTTAGTAATAATCGCGATTTAGTAATATTTTTTTCAGCACTTTTATTCGCAGTCACATAGAGCAAATCTGCAATATTGCTAAAAAACATATGCGGAGTAAGAAAAAATCCATTTGATTTAGTAATAGTAATACAATTTGGCTTCTCCCAAAAGTATTACTAAATCGAGCTTTGACTGTATATATCTGATTCAAAAGAATATAACCTGCCAAGATAATAGGAAGGAATATATTAATCATGACAATCTCTTTTAACTCTAGATATTCAGTTTATGCTATGTATTGACAATATGATGTGCTTTTGAAAAAGGAAGGAATAATTAGCAATAAACGAGGGGAGGTAATACCCTGCATAATTTCCAAAAATTAACGAGGAAGATCTATCCACCTCTTTAAAATTCAAGCGAAAGAAAAGTAATGATATACACTAATTAGTGTGTACAATAAGATACTATAGTGCTCTCGAAAAGATATAGAACCACCTTGGGATTTTTGAAAGGTTAGTAAAAACAGTACTGATACATGTTGCTTGCTTAGCTAAAATCAAGCTCTAGAAATATCTACAAATACTCTTTGACCGATAATATTATTGTCCCAATTTTACTGGCAACAACACTCTGATTATAAGCCATACTAAGAATCAATGAAGAAAGGTTGCTTAAATTAAATAAGAATCGACAAAGATACTATGATTATTACAATTTCTTTAGTAACATTACTTTTTATGGATTGAATAAATTAATAGATTATATTTATTTATTTATTCTTTGGATCTCTTCTTATTAACTATTGAAGTATAAAAGATGTAGTTAGCTCCCATGTGATAGGGCTCTCAAGAATGTATTAAGGTCTGAACCCAAGAACCAAATTAAAGTTGAAATATCATGCTATTAAGGATACATAACAATAGCCTCTTTAGTTTCTCTTGCCTCGGCATCTGACTGGCAGAAAGAAGTAAATGAACTTCTGATTTTTAGCATGATTTACACATTTGCTCATGGAACCAACTATATGTGTTAGCACTTGGAGAATATGAACGAACGGCGTGGCGATTATATACATAACACTTGTAAAGCATTCAACAACACACCTGGAGAACCCAAACATTGTCATAACTTCACAATAGTCGTCATCATCTGAAACTATATAATAAAGAAAATTCTTCTGGTTTGTTTCTTGATTACAGATCACCATGAGATTACCCTAATCTTAAAATAGTTGATATCATAGGGGAAAGAAAGTTTCAGTATAAATATGAACCAAGCTATGATTAATTGTAGCCCAACCAGAATGTCAGCAATAAATGAGGTTTTTGAGAGAGGTGTTGGTAGACTCTTGTGCCATTGGCATATCAAACGTGCTTGAGGAGTCAAGATTAACAAAGGACAATAGCATTTATATTATATACTACTAAATAGAGAAGGTGTCTTCGAGCCTGAATTGCAAACGTTTGCAAATTTGTATTTTATGCAGCGAATTAAATTTTAATATTCGTTTCGCAAATTTCATGGTGAGGGGGGGGACATTTAATGAGCATTTGAAGCTAAAGGTTAGGGATTTCCTGGTTTTTAACTTCAAATGCTCACTAGATTTCTAGTAGAAATTTAGCATATTTTTTTCACTTCAAAACAAAGTATATGATAACTAGGAGTTTCTTCTGTACACCTACTTAATAGAATAGGCCTCGGAAAGCCAAGTTTATTAAGGTCTATTTCCTCTAAATTTTTTAGTATAATGTTTTCAACTTCTAAATCCTCACAACTGTCTTTGAGTTTTTATCTATTTTTGATTGGGTTTTACAAATAATTATTTTTTAGCCATCTTGAGATTATCACAACTCGATACCCTCTCTATTATCTCAAGAAAATTATAGCCTGATTCAACTTTCCTTCTTCAATTATAACCTGTGCTTCTAATCTTCTCTTCTCTTCCCATGGAGCTACTCGTCTATTCCGATGATCTTTTGGTTTTCCTCTCGCAGATCCAGCATATGGCATGATTATAGTACTACCTCGCCACCTTCGCCTCTGCTTCAAGTTCACTTATTAATCTTCACAAGACCCAAATCTTTTCTCTGTTGGGATACATTCACAGTTGCTGGATGAAACCCCTTCACAGCTTGCAGATGGTTAGCTAGCAAGACAGTCGCTATTCTGAATCTCTTTGCTACCTTGACCTCCCAGCCATTTCTTTTCTCACCCAATGCAACTCTTTCTGCTCACAAATACTAGCCAAGACAGAGCATGCCTTACACATCCTCCTCTTTAGTGCCTTGTCTATCCGCAATCATTCTGTCGTCCTAAACTCTTTTATCTCAAAAATGTGGCAGGTTTTTCGTGCTGTATCTGTTTCCGGTATATTTTTTTTGCAAATGTTGAATATCTTATGACCCGTTTTCTTCAACACCGAAGCTTTATCCCAGTTAAAATGGGCGTATTGAGGGCTCTGGATCGAAAATTCCAGAAAAGTGCTCTTCAGCTCCTTGCCTTCAACTTCTGTTTTACTCTTCTACCTCTCCTTCTGGTCTGGTGATATTTTGGCCGATACGTTTTCTTCTTCATTGTCTACCTGGTACCTATCATCTTCTCCATTTTCTTTTCTTTTCTGGGTTCTGAAATAGTCGATTTAGTTTATATAAAGGCCCTTACTTAATCTCTTTGCCGCATGTGAGCTCCAGCCTCATAATTTTGACTACACATTGGTAAATATAGTGACATGTACGGGTATTCCTCTGAGTTCTGCCTCTTTTATTTCATATGGCTTCCCTTGCTTTTCATTCATCTTTGCGTCACCCTCAGATTCGGGATATCTATAAAATTGACCCGAACTTGGGTATTCTTTCTAGACACTTATCTTATTTCTTCCCTCGTTCACCACGCATTCTTTGCAAAATATTTCGACCTATAGATGACTACTCCCTTCTCTTTCAGGCCTTCATGACTCGTCCTTGTCTACCTCAGAGAAGCTTGACTGTTCAACTTGGTGACCCGATTATGCACAGTGGCTCTGAAGTTGATCCTTCTACACTTTTGTCATTCTATGTGCATATTGCAATATCTACTTACGGTTACTTAATCGCAAGATTTATTGTTGATAAGATTTCTATGTCGTATTCCTACTGTATTCCCACCTCTTACTTGGACTTTCTTTAAAAATTAAGACCTTTCTTTTTTAAAACCCCATTTCTTTTTGTATACTCCCTCGAGCTTCCCCTCTGGCAGACGTTTTGGCATACGTATTTTGGATTTTTCTCTCAAATTTCTGATACCTACAATCTGTTGTGCAATCTTACCTTCCCACCTTCCTTTGCTCCTACTCTACAACCCGCTTCCATAATTGGCCAGGTTCTTTTCGCTTTGTGGAAAACCCACTGGGATTTCGTATTTTATTAAGCTCCTTTTTGTTGCTACCAATGCTATCACCAGAGATAATTTTCTGCTTTACTGCTTACACGCCAAAAAATCTTGATCAACACCCATTCCAGGTCTAGATATCTAGCAATTTAATATTTTATACTTCACAAAAACATAAAGTCCAACAAAAAAAAACTGGGAAAAAAGGAAAACCAAAAAACAAGTTTTGACATCTTTTAATTCTTTTGAACAAGAATCCCACCAACAAACCAGAGTCCTGCCACATACAAGCAAAAAAATCTACTAGATTTTTTTTTGACTGACAAGAAAAATTATATACCTCTGTGCTGCAGTAATTAAGGTTATCAACCTTGATGAGTATTTGCCATTCAATACTTTAGCAGTAGGCTAGAGTAGGCTGTATTAGATATTGTTAATCGTGAATGTGATCAATTATAACAATTCAATATTACTGCTATTCTTGTCTATAGGTCATCTACTACACGGTGATTAGGTTTTTGTTTTTACTTGTTGATTAGTTAGTACATAGCATTATTTTTCTTAGAAAAGAATTGAGTTTGCTCAAGTCGTTTCAATTTTTGAAACAGCCATCTCCTTGAATGCTTCAGGAACAACGTCGACTACATTAAAAGCGCGTTAATCTTGTAAATTCACATACAACAGCATGCAATACTCCCTCGTATTATCATCAGTAGAGTTACTAATGTACGTAGATTGAGTTTTTTGTTTTCAATCTTCCCATAAAGTCTTTTAATGTGAATCGGATTAGACAAGTATTACGCGTAATTGTATTTTGAATGGTGAGATTAAAAGAGAGCCATTCAGTTCTAAAATCAGTCTACTTTGTGTAATAGCACAAATATTCAAAGAACGGGTGTTTTTAGGCGGTACTTATATTCAAGTTCTTTCTACATTTGACTTCTTGTAATTACCGTGTCAAACTTATTCATTACTCATTATTTTTTTCAACTTAAATGCACAATAAAAGACAGACGTTTTTTGGAGACATGGTTTTAAATACTTTTTTATTTGAAAGAAGATTTTATTTATTAACATATTTATTTATTACTACTATTTCTATCTACTTTACTTTTCTATAGTTATAAACAAAAGGATACAAAGGTTGTCAAGCTCTTAGTCCCCACACAAGGTGGCTCAATCTCCCCCAGGACGAAAACCTGGCTTGACAGCGAGGGAGGCGGACAGCAGAGTATTATCTCAGACTGAACTCATTTCGCTTTTACAAGCGGCACGGCTGCAACGCTAATACCAAGGACTACACCGCACGGTTGCGCATGTAACACATCTTGGCCCTTGCAATTACAGCAATGGCGTCCCATCTTTGGCCCAACCCTGTTGGCACCAGTTCAGGGCAAAGTACCGGCTGTCGTCACTGTTCTGTGGTCATCGGTTTTAGAGCTACATTCCGAGCTAAAAATTCCTAATCGACAGCCGCATTAAAGAAGGAAAAGGAGAAAAAACGGAAACCAAAAAAAAAGAGGAATACTTATCTCTTTTTTCTTTCTCTCTCTCTCTCTCTATCAATCAATCAATCAATCAAAAAAATAGATGGCACTATCCCAAAAAAGGAATATTTCATATGATTGCTGCGAGATTTTCATGCATAATCAAGTCAATCGATCGATGGGTTACCATAGCAGCAGGAAGACCTTTTTGTACTTTACAAAGAGCTTCCCACCAGTCAATATGATATATATATTATACCATTTGGAATATAAAATCCAAGAGTTTATGTCTAGTACTAATGCTGATAGTAATAGGAATAATTTTTCTATGTGGTGTCATGAAGCAAAGAGAAAAAGAGAGAGAGAAAAGTGTAGTAAATAGTTTCATAAAGAGACACGATTCAAGCAGCTATTTAATTTTGATGTATAGCTTTCTACAAGATCGTTTTCCGTTGAGAAAGATCAAAGCTAATCGATATAGTCTAACACAAGCATTTGAAAAAGATAAACATTTGAAGACTATATGAGAGTATACAGATGGCAAATACTTGACATATATAAAAAATGTGGGCGTATAACTATAGACTTTTATAAGCTGTAAGTAGTCGATAAAATTGAAAAAGATGCTTTTTCTCCCTCTGATTATGCTACCATATACACACACAAATACACCTATACAATATTGTAAGTAAGTTCATTAAGTTACTGAATGTCTTTGACCAAGTGAGCCTGTGATATTATTAGTCCCCAATATAAGCTACAAGAAAAAAAATATGAAGGACCAGAGAAGCAATGATAGGAAAAACAGAGAGAGAAAGCAATGAAGAAGCTTACTTTACCAATTAGTATTATGGCAACTTTTGCTGGGATGCCATATAACAGGCCATTTATCTCTGCGAGCTACTGTACATAAAGAAGTTTATAACTCAAACGTAACAGTGGCTGAACACTTTAAAGTGATCAAGGCCCTATTTAGCTGTACAGGCGACAGGATTCATGTGTGTTTATATGTTCATACTGTAACCCGCAAGAATAAGGGTGGACCGACGGGGATGGTCTTTATAAAGAGCGTATGATAATTAGAATAGAATTTCTGTTAAGTATCAATATATACAACCAACTCTACTATTAAGAAAGCCAAAATAATTACTTGGCACATTAAGCATGCCGTCAAGCTATTTTCTTGCGTGTTGAGTAGCAGCTAAGTTACTTGACAGCCCCAAATCCACTAAAGTTGTGATCAACTTATTAAGACTGGCTTGTCTTAGTATATTTTTAGAGCACTGGTAATGGTATTAATATTGGGTGTGGCTGGGTCAAGCGTGAAGAAGAAAATAAAAACATTATACTCTGAACCTAAACTGGATTCACCTCGCTCTGTTCAACAAAGCCGCTGTTAACAGTAACGGCTTTGCTGTATATATTTCTTCAATTGTATATTTCACTGTACCAGCTTTTTATCTTCTATAATTTCAAGATCTAAAGTGATTGAACTTACACGATAACAAACGTATCGCCTCGTGTTTTTGCCTTTGATGTACCAGATTTTTATTCAAACACTGTAACAAGTTTGGGGACTTGTATGGATATTCCTCTGGGTTTGTTTATCTTGCTCCACATAGTCTTCCTATATATTCGTCCTCTTGTCGTCACCTTTGAATCTGACATGCCTACAAGATCGAAACGACTTTGGATGTTCTTTCTCAATTTTTACCTTATTCTCTCACTAGCTCACCGAGCATTCTTTACAAACTATCTCAACCTAAAGATAATTTCTCTCTCTCTTTTTTCAAGCCTTCGTGACTCGTCCTTGTCTTCCTCAAAGAATCTTGGGTGTTCAATTTCTTGACGCTATGATGCGCAGTGATTCTGAAGTTGATTGATCTATACTTTTGTCTACTATATCCCATAACTTTCCTTGAGATTATCTATGTACATGAAAATATCGTTTCTCCTGCAAAGTTGTCGTTTCCTCTACTAATTATGTATCACAGGCACACGGTAGACGAAGAAGTTATTTGGGTTTTTAACCTCTAACAAAGTCAAATGTATAGTCTACACTTATTATTTTTCATATATTCACACAAATGATGTTAACAAAATATGAGTTTCAGAAAGAAATGTTGCAATGGCTGAGAAATTTTTGGGTGACTATGACAATAATTAGCTAAGAAGCAGAGAAATCAAGACTTTCAGATCGAAATTGTGTGGTGTACACAATTTTGTGGGATCGGACAGTTTAGAACGGAAATGTAGATTTATGCGTTGGACATACCAGGGTGGAAAGAGAAAGAGTTGCGAAGTACTGATGTTGGCTACCTGAAGGACTAGAACAATATGTCTTTTTTTTGCAAATATACAAATGTATTCTTAAAAAAAGTGCCTAGTTTAATGTAAGAGTGTGTGTTTAATCATAGAATGGATAAAACTGAAAAATTAAGAAACCTTGACTTTCAAGGTTGTGACTTTTTGAGTATAGAATACGAACCACAAGACAAAATACATTATGCAAATTCAATGCATTATAATGCTATTGTCTTTTTTTTTGCGGAAGGTTTACTATTATAAATATTTGGTTGGTTTTATTGGACAAAAACTAAAATGCATATTTTGGTGATAAATCCAAATTTATCACAATCCATTCTTCTTTCTTTTCAATACTACAAAAAGTCAAACATAGTATACCCTTTTTTTTATTCCGTCTCTTTCCTACTAGTATATGGTCCACAATAGTGTCCAATCATATATGCATATATGTTCAAGAAAATACATCTTGTAAGTAAAGCATATCGTCTCTATTATGCATATATATAGTTATATTCCATTGTATGCTTATAATATTTTAATTGCTTAGGCCAGCAATAATATATATATATATCACTAATCTCTCTTCAATTATTCATTTCTTTAATTAAAAGAAAAAAAGTAATGACAATGACTGACAATGACAATGACCCAAGCCCACCGAATTCATATAGTTCTTAAAATGAACTCAAAGCGTCGTAGGTTAGTACAAATAAAAAGAAATAAAATTATTTGACAGCTTCACAAACATTAACATGGTCATTACCAAAAAAAAATAGTACTCTTCATCTATCATGCAAACAGATCCCACTCATGCCTTCATGGCTTCTTTTGCTACCTTCAGATCCAAATATATGCTTTTTAAATTCCGGTCGTACCGTTCTTTTAAAGTTTCTCAATGAGGTTTTGAGACATTTTGGACAGTCCTTTCACCTTCCCTTGAGCTCCAGTGGTCTCAGTAATATGACTGGACTGAATATCATGATCAAAGGTGTTCAGTATATTTTCATATGCAGTGAATGTCACCAGACATACCTTGAGTCCTAAGGCGTTCCTTAGTGCTGCAACTCCCAAAAGCTTTCGGGGGCTACATGCAGAAACCAGCTTTTCTTGTCGGCACCTTCGAACTCTTCTAGACCCAAGAGAGCATATTTATACAACTCTTTCACCAGTGCATTCAGAATCTTCTTTTGTCGCCCTGGATTTGAGGCAGCCATTAACGTATGGAGATACAGACATCAAGTCCCTGATATGATGTTTGACATCTACAACGGTGCCAAGTGGGGCGAATTGAAGGATCATGACAACAATCAATTCATGGCCCATGAGCGTTCTCTTATGCTCACGTTGAACATCGATTGGTTCCAGCCTTTCGATGGAGTCACCTACTCATGCGGGGCCATTAACCTTTCGGTTAACAATTTGCCAAGGTCCGAGCGGTATAAGAAGGAGAACGTTGTCCTCGTTGGGCTCATGCCAGGACCAAAGGAAGCCAAGACGAGTGAGATCAATCACTACCCCCGTCCCCTCGTCGAGGAGCTCAAACAGTTGTATGTGGGTGTGATGATCCCAACAGCCCAGTGTCCCCAAGGTGCTCTTGTTCGTGCTGCCTTGCTTTTGGTAGCCTGTGACATCCCTGCTGCTCTCAAGACCTGTGGGTTTACATCCCATGCCAGTATAAATGCCTGCCATAAATGCGACCACCATTTTCCTCGCCTTGAAAAAGGTCATGGTGTAGACTACTCTGGCTTTGTCTTTTCCAAGTGGGTCCATCGCACCGAAGAAGCCAATAGGCAAGATGCCACAACGTGGAGAAATGCAAGTAGCGATGCCCAGCGTACGAGGTTGGAAAGAGAGAATGGAGTCCGCTGGTCGGAACTTCACAATCTCGAGTACTTTAATGCAGTCGAGTGCACAATCATCGATCCGATGCATAACCTCTTCCTGGGAACAGCGAAACGCATGATGGAGAGATGGAGGTCAGAAGGAGCGTTGACTGATGCTGACTTGTCAGATATGCAGGCAGATGCTGACAAGATGATTATACCCCCTGACTATACCCTTTTGAGAAAAAAGATTGGCAAGGGTTTCCCTTTCATGAAGGCTGACGAGTGGAAATCCTGGTGCCTGATGTACTCTCCCATTCTTCTGCGAGGCCATCTTCTGGACATTTACCTTCAGAACTGGATCTGCTTTGTCAACGCATGATGTCTTCTATCAAGTCCGAGTATCTCCATGGAAGATCTGGATGAGGCCCATTGCTCTCTGGAGGCCTTCTGTGTGGAATGTGAGATTCTGTACGATCCGGATCTCCTTTCGCCAAATATGCATCTCCATTTGCGTCTAAAGGAGACAATCGTCAGTTTTGGGCCAGTGTATGGCTATTGGTTGTTTAGCTTTGAGAGGTTCAATGGCGTCCTCAAGAACTATGCTACTAATCGGAGGGATGGCTTTGAGGCCACTTACATGAGAAGATACCCGGAAGATGCGTATAAGAGTGACCTTGCTCGTGCCATCATTTCTTGTATCCGCCCATCTCATGCTGGTCGTCTCGTCGAACTAATTGGTTCATCTGCTTCATCTGCTTCCTCTCCTTTTGTACTTGATGATTTCATCGCATCTGCAAACGGAAACTTTGATATCACCAAAGGTAATGAGCCTCTACCGCCGTCTACTTTTCCATTGGAGCTGGAAAGGGAAACCAGTATGAAGGAATCCGAGTATCTGAACTTGTTGGCGTACTACTGGGAGACGTATGATGACCAGGCCCTCTGCCATTATCGCCAGCCTGGACCAGATCAAAAGATGGTCAATAATAGGATTCAGAAAATGAAATCGATTCATCTTCTGGGACAGGTGTACAAAGGTGGTGATGGTATGGCCAAGCGCGGATCATACATCCAGGCCCTTTTCCGAACAAGTGACGACAGATTTATCAATGCATATACTGGGCAGATACAGTACCTCTTTGTGAACACTGCCACAAACTCGTTTGCTGGCCATTCGAGTCGGCATGTGTTTGCATACGTGAACTAGTTAAAATACATCAATCTTCAGCCCATAAGTAAGGTGTGGGGAGGTGCGTTAGTTTGGCTTCAAAGAAGGTCGAATATGTGTGTTATTCCCTTAAAAATATTATAATCTCAATAAAGAAGTTGATTACAATATTTCACGACTTTTGTATTGTTACAACTATATGAATCTCCATTTTTGCTGCAACATTTTTCCTTGTTATGATATTCTTCTTCTCAATCGAACTCAATTCGTATGAATTCCTTTAAAATTGCGCTTCCTTTCTGTTTATTAAAATGTCATTCGGATCAGTTATAATTTAATTGAGGTTTTTTTTTATGTGGAATTCGGGTTTGCTCATATTTTTGATGGTAGTCGACAGTCTAGAAATCATAGTGAGAAGCGATTGGACTTGAAGAACCAGGTTGGTTAAACATTATTATGTTAAAGCAGTAAAGAGTATATTTGATCTCTTTAAAAACATCTGAGTGGTAGGTGCAGAATTAGAATTGGAGTCTACATCTATCTCTAAAATTATGTGTACCTTTTAAAGAAGTAGTATTGAGACAAGAGATGTTATAGTAAAGTAAAGGTGGGAAAATGATGTGCTTATTCAGCAAGTAATATATATATATATATATATATATATATATATGTATGTAGAGGTTTAGCAGCTGTCAAACAACTATATCTCATTAAAGACATATATTTGATTTGAGGTTTGTGCGCCTGTGCATGTGTATGTGTATGTGTATTTAGAGTGAAGATTTTTTGTAAAGATTTTTGACACATCTTTTCAATTCCTCTGGCCAATGAGTAATGTGCTTGTATTGAACTTTCAAATAAAAAAGTGACAGATTTGGTATAACCTGGGTAGATTGTATATGTGTACATGCATTTATTAATTGTTGCATTTATACATATATAAAAATATCAATAGATTTGAAAAAGCAAGATATAATTGTGGTTGCGAAATTCAGGATAGTGCCTCTATCTGGCTGGTTTAATGACAAGTATTTGTACTATTCTATAATATCAAACACAGAAGAATGGTCACCATAAAAAGAGACAATAGGCATCTTCATTTTCATTTGATCTCCACGTTGAAGAGGATGAGCGATTAGCTGAACCATTGCCCTAGTAAAGGAACTCTTTCCAAGATGTCCAAATTCATAGTACCATCCCTTTACTTTTGTACTGTCCAGAGAACACCAGAAATTAAATACTTGCTTTTTGTATAAAAGTTATTTTTTGGGTTTAGTTTTGGATATACACATATTAAAAACTTATTAAATGATCAAAGTATATTTAACTTTCTTACCTGGCATCGAGGAATATGTTTGGGGGATTGATGAATATATACAAAATCCATTGTGAGATTAGGTGAGCAGCGAACTCGGTTGTAGGTGTCTTCTTCCACAAGTGATGGGATTGTTTCGCTTCTTCCGTATAAAACAATTACTTGTGTGAATAGCGATTTGTCCGACAAGTCAACATTTCTTTCGATTAGATTAAACAATGATTCAGTGTCTAAGAATTATACTTGTAAGGTTAATAAACAACCCTCTTGTCTTTTTCACTTACCAAACTTGTCGTAATAATGAGTGGCCTCCAAGCGTTCAATTGCTTCAGAAATCAGAAGCTGGTCGTCTTCAAAGAACATATTCTATAATATCAATATATAAGTATGTATATACATATATACATATATACATATATACATATATACATATATATTGTTTTTACCATTTCTGCTTTATCTTTCATAGTGATTATAGAGAATTTGTCTTTTGATGGCAGTAAAAGAGCCATGTGCATAAAACGTTTTATTAAAAAGAGTGCTGTCTGTAAGCGTGTACTGCCACACTTTAGTTTTTTAGCAAATCAAAAAATACAACAAAAGACAAACTTTATTTGTAGATTGTATTGTGTGTTGACTTTTTACCTACTGTGCATTAAACATTGCACTTTTCCTCCATCAGCAGACGGGCTCATTGTCTCATTCATCTCATTATCCAAGTCAATGCAAAAGATCTTTTGAATAACAGTAATTAGGAAAACATGATTATTAATCACTATATTTTGAGTATATGCATGTGCATGTGCATTTGCACGTATTGAATCATTTACTCTCTACGTTATTCATGTTTCTCACCACTCTACGTGGGACAGCTCTCTTTAATTGCTTCAATGATTTTACTGACATGTGCATGTATAATGTATATATAGAAAGAGGGGGAGGGGAAGAAGACTTAACAATTCATACGGCAGTTTGTGTACAAAACAAAAACAAAAACAAAAAAAACAAAAAATGATTCTTACTGTAGCGCTGTTTATACTGTACAATTATGAAAAACAAGAAGCAAATAGATATTTGTAAAGTGAATTATGTCCAAGAAAATTGGCGAGTATTTTACTAGACAAATACAGTGGGGGAGAGTGGGATAAAGAATTTTGTTGTGTTAATCCTTACTTTATATATATATATATATTGAGAAGAAGAAGGTACTTATTTATTGGTCTTGTTCAAGAGTATATTTGTACACATTAAAAGTACTGAATGCTCCTCTGTGCACCACACAGTCAAATATTCGAATCCTGTTTCTTTTATTTGTGTATTTATTTAGACCAGTTTCATAATCATATGCTCTGCATATATATACACAATGTCACTTCTTTTAATGCACATCCTGTTTTCTACAGGACTGAGTTATATTTATCTGTACTGCTTGACTGCTTGACTGCTTGACTATTAAATCATTCAGTACAAGTATACATATGTATTTATAAAAATGTAGGGTGTTGCAGTGAGGGTTACTCTATAGAATAACAAGAAAATAACAAAAGTATATATATAAAAAAAACCTTGTTTTGTATCCACTATGATTTAGTGTTGAATATGAATAAAACATGCTACATGATACATGATACATGATACATGATACATGATACATGATACATGATACATGATACATACATATATATTGTCAAATGACCAGTGAAAGTTTTGTTCTCTTTTATTATTATGATTATTATTGTAACCTTGTAGAAATTGCTTTAATTATGCCAGGAGCCAGTAATTCACAAAAAAATACATTACCTTTTCTTCACAAATAAATTTGTTTCTTTGGGATAACAATTCTTTTTATTATTATAAATAAGCATAAGAATAATGACAAGTTAGAGTGGAGTGGAGTGAAGAGGGTAATGAATCAAAAGACAAACAGCAGGCTTTATATACAAAAGAGAGAGAAAGAGAAAAGGGAATAAAGAAGCGTATTGTGTAGTACAAACGCTAGTTCTGATCTTAGTTTTAGTTCCAATGATAGTGTTTCTAAAGCAAGTATATGTATATATACATATATACATAAATGCGTGTGTGCGTCTTTGGCATAAAGAAGAACAAGAACAAGAACAAGAAAATACACGCACAAAAAAAAGAAAGAAAAAGACGATGATGGAAATAACGATAATAATAATGATAATAATAATAATGGTAATATGTATATGAAGGTTTCTGTTGTTGTTGTTGCTGTTGTTGTTGTTTTATAATATAAATATTTTGGATATATATTTGGTACTCTAAAGAAAAGGTTTTTTTTGTGATTTAAGATTCTTCCATCTTGCGCCTTTTGCAACTCTCGGTATCTTTGTATGATTCATCGATTATCTGGGGAGGCATAATCCAAACAATCTTGCCATCATTTTCGGGAGCTACGACCAGTGTACGAGCACCAGTCGAGGTTGAAGAGATGTTTTGGTATGGTTGGGCTACTGACCAGAACATGTCAGTCGTCACGTTTGATCCGCCAGCACGACTGCCAGAAACTGCAGCAGGAGCAGAAGTAGAGGATGCTGATGTGGTTGAGACTGAAGAACCAGCAATTGACGTAGCTACAGCGCTAATAATGCCGACATTTGAAGACGACGACGACAACGTAGAAGAAGTAGAAGGAGACGAGGATGATGAAGATGATGAATATGGGTTAATAAAATGTGCTGGAAGACTTGTGGCCATCATGGCAGCTGGGAATGGAGTGAGTGAAGATGATGAGGATGATGAAGATAAAGGAAAAGAGGTCATGGAAAACGTCGTATCTGCCTTGTTTGAGTAGATTGGAAGTTCAGCAGTCTCTATTGTTGCGCCCGAAGGTGGGAGGAGTCCCAAGTTTCCCAAGCTACGGTGGACAATACTTGGGTCTACACTACCCTGAACTCGTTGGATTGCCCGCAGATGAGCACAGTACTTCTCAAGAATATTGTAAAGCGTGCTTTTTGAAAATGGCTTTGGCAGGATGTCTGTCATGCCGCTGCCGATGTACTGCATAATGTCACTGTCACTAAAGTTTGAGGTCATGGAAATGATGGGCGTCAGGGCGTCGTACTGTCGAATGTTTCGAGTTGCAGAAATGCCGTCAAGATTAGGCATAACAATATCCTAAATATTTTTTTCAAATATATATAAAAAAGGGAAATTACAAACAACAAATAGTAATTTGTGCAGAAAGATCATGTCATAGTCAGGTCAGGTCAATAAAGTAAGTCTTTTTTTTTGGTTATTCTGCGTAATAAATGTTAAAGGAAAAAGAGGAAGAGGTAGGGCAAAGCAGGGAAGTATTTTTTTCCTCTGTACACACACGCACAGGCACACAAACTTACCATTAGAATCAAATCATACTTCTCGAGTCCCATTTTACGAAGGGCTTCCAATCCATCCTGTGCCAGGTCAATTGTACAGCCAATAGTATTCAAGAGCTTACGACTAATATCACGATAAACCGAGTCATCGTCAACGAGAAGAATTCTAGGAGACACAGCCCAACCAGGAAGGGCGACCTTTCCGGTTGCACTACTACCAGAGTTCATTAACCGGGGATTTGTCATTGAAACTGGCATAGATACTTTTGTTGCTGCTGTTGTTGCGTCCATTATTTGCCGTTGTCCCTTTTCTCCACAATCGTTTAGCGCTATTTCCTTTGGGTTGGACGTAGCTGTGTTTGGTGTCGCTGCAAGCCGGCCTACTGTCAAAAGAGCCACTCTTTCGGGCATCTTTTGGTCTAAATGAATGGCCATTGTTTCTGGATTGTGAGCCATTCCACACGAGCCATCAAAACTTTGTTTGGCTAGATGAACAAATGGGATCGCCTGGATCTCTCTAAATTGTGCAGTTGTTTCGCTTGATGGAATTGAGTTTTGGCCTTGTTGCTGTTGCTGTTGCTGTTGCTGTTGCTGTAACCAGATATCTTCATTGGTTTCACACGCTCCTCCACAATCCTTTCGCTTCTTGGATTGGTCCAACTTTGGACTTATAGTATTGTCCTGATAGTTCGTCGTCGGTGTTGGTGTCGAGGTGGTGGAGGTGTCGTAGATTTGTTGATTGTTGTTTTCTACTGAACTCATGTTGATTATAGTAGATGTATGATGGTTTTGGCTCTGGGTCTGCCTTTGAGTCGATTGTGCCTGATTGTTTTCAGTGTCGATTTTTACAAACTGTTGTAAAAGATTGTCTTTAGCAGCCATGCTTTTGTTAAACTGGACAAGTTCATCTGCAATCTGTTGATCGGCACGGTTCATCTTCTGCATCTGAAGCTCCATGTCTGTCTGGGACTTTCTCAGTCCATCGACCTGGGCCTGCAGGTGTCTGGTGAGCTCCAAGAGGCTATCGATGGACGATTGGTGAGATGGTTCTTGGTCAGTACTTGTGGTAGCAAGTGGCTGTACATCTGCGTCGCCTGTCAAAACAGGCTTATCCTTTTTAGGCTTCCCTGGAGATTTTCGTCTGATTTCTTCCAAAAGGTCCTTACGGTCCCGTCTGAATTTAGGGTGTACCCATACCTACAATTAAGAACAGCAAGAACAGCAAGAACAGCAAGAACAGCAAGAACAGAAAGGTAAAGAAAAAGGAGTTTATTAATGTTATTTTGATTTTGATAAATATTAATATTAGAATATAGTGACATCCTACACACACGCATATACATACACGTGTATATGATATTATGCTTTGTAATATATATGTATGTATATATATATATATAATGTTTGTATTATTATTATTTTCTGGCTTTATTCCCTTTAGTTCTAGTCTAGGTCTAACTCTAGCTCTAGCTCGAATTCTGGCTCTGGCTCTGGCTCTGGCTCTGGTTTTAGTGTTTCTCACCTGATCAGCATACATCCGATGGCCGTCTTCTGGGTTTCGTACTTTGTGAAAGTCATACTTGTTCAACTGTCGAACAAAGCTAGCAAAGTTGCAGTGTTTAAAGTGCTTTGGTAAAATTGTTCTTGAGAAATCATTGATGTCTTTCACCAGAAATGTTGTTCCGTCAGGACCCCAGCAAAAGGTATCGTTGAATGATTTGTTTTCGAGCATGCTTTATGAATATAGACATTAAAATAAGAAGGGGGTAGTCAAGAAATATATAGATTTTAATATTTTGTTTTACCGAAAGAGCTTTTGAATAAAATCAGGTACGACACCTGCACCTTCGTTGCTCTTTACATGTGGAGCTGTGGGTTTCTTGATCATGTGAATACTTTCTTCTCTTGTGGACTTCTTTTTTGTCCAGGTATTCAAGTCTTTGTGGCTGTTCATCGAAAGAAATTAAAAAGGGAAGAGAGAAAGAGAGAGAAAAAGAAAAGAAGAAGAGAAAAGAAAATAACGTTGTAGGGTTGTGAATAGAGTGGGGTTTCGTATTCGCTGATACAATAAGAATCGGGAATCCGATCTATATTTATATTTTATATATGTAAAATTTGTATGTATAAATAGATGATACAAAACACACACAAACTACACACACACACATTCACACATTCACACATTCAATACATACTACATACTACATACTACATACAATCTTTCTATCTTTCTATAAGCGCACATACTCTATAATTATTCTATCGCTTTTTCTCTTGACTTATCCATTCTTTCTGTTCAATTCTCTTGCTTCTTTTTTCCATAGTTTGTAATGAGATGAGTAAAGGAAAAATTCGGTGCTTACAAGGTTGAAGAAATGCGAAGTGAACTTGATAGAATATATAGATGTATATATAAAATATAATATATAATAGAATAGAATATAATATAAATAGAAGATAATAGCAAAATTCAAGAGAAAGAAAGAGAAGGAAAGAGAGTGTCTTGCATAGGGAGGGGAGGGGAGGGGGTAAAGGAGCAAAAGGAAGGAAAGAAAGAAAAGGGGGGAGGGGAAGAGAGGGGGTGGGAGAGGGGGAGTTTTTTTTTTTTTTTTTGTTGAAAGGGACACCTCGGTATCAAAAAAGGCAATAATGGTCACAATACACTCAGCCGTCCCTTTTTTGGATTTTCTCTCTCTCTCGCGCGCGCTTTGTCGTTATTTAGTTCGCCAGCTTTAATTCTCGCTTTGCCACGACTAACGACTACGATACGACTACGACAAGGACCGCCAACTATGGAGAACATCAAGTCAGCCGCAAACAAGTTCATCACAGTCTACAACAAAGACACTCCAACCAGCCTAAAGTTCATTGACGTCTATCTGGTCTACATTCTTATCTCTGGAATCCTGCAGTTCATCTACATGCTTCTCGCAGGCACATTCCCTTATAACGCCTTTCTTGCCGGCTTCATCTCGACTGTTGGAAGTTTTGTCTTTGCAGGCAAGATGTTATTACAGTAGTATCAATATAAATATATCTACATGCACTAATTTTAAAAATAATTTTAAAAACACGTTTTCTTTCTATTGCATCATATTTGGTATTAACTACTCTTTATTAGTCAATCTGCGTATCCAAACCAACGCTCAAAACGCCACCAGTTTCAAGTCTATTTCTCCTGAACGGTAAGTTAAAAACATTATTTAAACAAAATGAGCTATCAAAAGCTCTTATTGGATAAAGGGATTATATATCTTAATGTGTATAACATATTCACACACATATATATATATTGTATTTTATTTTAAATCCATCACACAAAAACACAAATGACATTCATTTAGCGCATTCGCCGACTTTGCCGTCTGTTCATTATTGCTACATTTCTGCTGTGTTCACTTTTTGGGTTAAACAAAACAAAACAAAACAAAAAGGCGATATAGATACATGTGTTTATTAGTTTACTATAGTTCAATAGAAAACAAGTATATATCCAGTATCAAGTATTCGAATACAGTGCTTTGCGTTTAAAAATACAAAAATCAAGAGGTGTAAATAAAAAAATCTTGAAGTCCAATAATTTTTTTTGTTGGTCAGTAAAACTATAGTTGAATAGTAAAATTTATGAATGATAAATAAAATGTTTTGGCCATCAATGATAATAATAAAAAAAAAAGGGTAAGTCAGTGAGATTTTATTTATTTCATCAAAGTACCATTTACAGTGCCTGTAGCATCAATCGGCTTAACTTTCTTTATACAATAACACTAGCCCGGGACTGTTCAGTGAAGCTGAAAAATATCTTCCGCCAATTGAACATAAAGACCACAATTTTTAACTATCCGTCTTCACGGCTCTTTCGCACATATCTCACTTTGGTTGGGTAAGATAGTTTAAAGAGTTGGTCAATATGTGACAACCTTTATATGTCCCCCACTCACCCTCTCAGCCATCATCTACGTCCTCTCTTCTCATTCTCGCTGCACTCTAACATGGTTTCTCATCTGTCTTCCCAATGTTTCCTGTTTGACTTTAGGTCACTTGCCTTCCTGGTAAAGCCAAGAAGTCTTCAGATCAGTACTATCTGTTTGTAAAGACATGGCCACCGAATATGCTTTCTTGGGCTCTCGACATCTCTCACTTTAGAAAATATACGACAAAAGCCTTGACATCCTCTTTGGCTTTTCAGCAATAGACGCTCACCAACCATCTTGGGCACAAAGCTCCCTACAAAAAAAAATACCATCCGTCTTATTTTTAAATGTTTTTGCTATAAAGATCCTGATAATTCCAAGGCCTATAAAACTAAATTGGCGACAACAAAGGAAATATTTGAAACCGTCCAACTATATACATCTCCCTTCAATCAGCGATCTGTATGGGCTTTTGAAAAGTGGTGCTCGACCTACAGCGTATCATCTTTAAAAGCAAAGCGAGCCAGAAATTCAAATAGTAGAGAAGGACAGCTTTATATATTAGGTGATACTTGTTATGGTAAGCCTAAGCAATAGTATAAGCGAAATACATAACCAAGTCTCTATAGACAATTTGTTGGAATAAATATGCATGTATTTGGTAAGATACAAAGCATCCATCTTAAATTTGAAAGAGAAAAAAAAACACGGAATCCTCAGCTAGCTATGTCCGCAAGTCCCCATCTGACGTGGATTTAGAAACAAGGTCGAAACTCTTACAAAAAATGGTTGACGATCTGCTTGACCGCTCCCTTGTTGATAAAGTTTATGTTTCAGTATCTAGTCTTACATCTTCGCCGTTTAACGAAAGGGACTTAAAAGATTGACGAAATTATGAAAAAAACTCAAACATGTAACTAGAAATACTCCAGGTAAAGCAATACTACAGCATATAGACTGAAAACCCCATCGCTGACTTTCTATTTGATTCACGATAGATATGTCAGAGTATCTTCGATCGACTTTGCTGGGATTTATTCACGTTCCCATCTCATAAAAGATTTGTTGGAAGAGTGCCCTGGTATAAAGAAACTAGCTATTGAAACTTTTATTTCTGATAACAAAATTCTTCTTCTGGACTATCGACTTCGGTTGTCAGATAACAACTACTTGAAAAATTTGATTTTAGAAAAAAGCCAATCTAACGATCAAAATAATGGAATAATACAATACATGATTTTAATAAAAACAGTTAGGAGACTTTGTAATGTTATTAAATAAAAATAAAAAATACGATCGGATTGTTTTAAAGACGTTCATTATACATGTGGTAATCTAGCTATGTTATAGCCATACAGTCAATTATTGATATAGTCGAAAAGTGGGGGATTGCCAAAATTGTTGACTAAGGCTGCTCCTATGAAAAATGAGGTCTGATCGTTTATTAAATTGAGCTACGCTCGTATTTATATCAACTCAGTGAGTAGACCTAGAATACTACTAGCTGTAACTATTAAACTAAATTTTATTAAGAAGGCCATATACATATGTTCTGACTCTAGATAAAGAGTAGACTATAGCTAAGACTTAGAGAGGACGACATACGTTAATATTTCATAAAGGCAACAAGGTATTAGTTAAGCAGTAGTCTATTTCTAGTATCTAAATATGATAAAGACCATTTTCTTCCGGAAATCAAAAGCATAATAGCAATAGCAAATTGTACTTTTATAAACAGTAGTACTTTTTATAGCATAATAAAGACAAGCTATAAACAGTCTCAAAGTAAACTACTTACCTTTGTTTCTATTATTGTTGTCGTTTTTCTTTTTTGGCGTAAAATATACAATATATTCAGGCGATAAAGTAAGAATCGAAAGTAGTTCCATAACAAAATTAAGGAATGGGAATATTAACTGGATGTAAACAATATAAATGAGGGCATTCGCGAATCTTCCTTTTTGCCACTAAGACTTGTTGCCTTGGATATGTGTTATAGCAAATCTCTACAACGCCGTAATCTTCGACTGCTTTTTTGTATTTCATGACATTCTCTTCAGTGAATTCGACATAGAAAAACATACAAATTGCTTGGTCTCTCGATATTTTCATTTTGATAAAACAGAGTGATGACAGTAAATTACCTTTTTTTCTATTAATGACCAAAACGTTTTACTGGTCATTCATAAATTTTACTATTCAACTATAGTTTTACTGGCCAACAAGAAGAAATATTGTACTTCAAGATGTTTCTTATTTACACCTCGCGATTTTTGTATTTTCAAACCCGAAGCACTGTATGCGTATACATACATAAAGGTAAAAATGATTGTGACCACATTTGTTTTGGGTTAAGGCTTGTAAGAACAATAGCAACCAATCATCACTGCACCATACTGAGCACTAACTCTCGTTTTTGGTGAAAATAAGAGAATAAAACAAGAAGAGTCAAGTACGACACATGCGTATAAACATAAGAGAAATGGAGCGACTAAACTCCAATATATATAGTGTTTTTACTTGAGATTGAGACAAAAAAGGATTATTTTGTAGAATATTTTTACTTGTAAAAATCTTAACTTCTGGAAATAAGACTGTGTTCGAGATAATATAAGCTTTAGAGAATAGGCTCTCTGTCTAGAGAGAACAAAAGTGGTCGATGACGGTTATGTAAAGCCTGTTCCGCAATTTGGTATACATATTGAAGCATTGGTGTTTCTTTTCCGTGCTATCACACAACTTTGGTAAGCTAGGATGCTTATTAAATCAACTGATACATCTGTGAGGCTGATTCTACTACAAAGGCGACAATCTCTTTTTATCTTATACTTCTTTCTATATCTTATTATATTTTCTAACGTCATTCACTAATATGCTTATCATTTCTTCATGCCTTCTCTGTACATCTTGATATACACAAAGACACTTTTTTATTGTTCGCAATATAGTCGTATTAAAACAGTTCTTCTTTGTTCCTAGTGGGCTTATGAAACATTGATACCAAATTATTTATATCATTTCTATTTTGGTTTACAGGACTAGCTGTTATTTGACCAATTATTTTCGAAAATAGTCTCAATCTCAAGTAAAAATTCATTTCATTGTATTATTTTTGTCAATCAAAAGGCGTAAAAAAAAACCTAAGCAATGTTACACTGTATAATGGATATTGACATTTCTTATATTAATTCACTCAATGTTTGTGTTTGTGTTGGTCGATATATTATCTTTGTACGATCAATATCCGGTGTATTAATACTTCAATATTTGGCAAAAAAACGAAAAAGCAAAACAAAGGTTGATCTGCAAAGCCCAAATAAAATCCAACAACCGACTATACCACCTGTGCTTTACATTTGTTTTGTTGCTCTTGTATATTGCTTTTTGTACTATAACAAACCAATATATGTGAAATCCAAAGAATATATTATTTGCACCACAAGCATGTAAGAATACAGTGTTTTTACTTGACATTGAGACGAATCAAAATGTAATTTTAGACAATATGCTTACCTTTTGTGGACGAAACGAGAATAAAATTTAGACAAAAAGAAATTTTTCAGACAAAGTAGATATTTATTCAGACGTTTTATCTATATGTCTATACGACTCAAAGAGACAACATGTTTACGTTAGAGCATCCACAGCGGTTTGTCTAGATAAATGTTTGAACGAGAAATTTTTGACATTTATTTAGTGGATATCTAAATTTGGCGCTTCACTAAAACTTTAGAGCAATAAAAAAGATGCGACTTCAGATTTAGATAAACCGCCGTGGATGCTCTTACAGCCAATTGAACACGCTATAATTGTCACCTTAATTGTATAAAGATAAAAGGGAAAAATGTATATTTTGCCTGCACTTCTCTATATATGTATATATACCTTTTTTAAAAAAAATAGCTTTCCGCGTGTTCGCAAATCAATAAGACCACATTTTTCTTTCTCGCTGGTCTACTGTAAAACACACTATAAAAGTCGCACAATTAGAAAAAATAAAACGTATTTTTGGGATAAAAGTTTGAAAAGAGTTTTTATATTTAAACAAAAAGGTGAGTATGTATTATATATAAAAGATAGTATGAATATGTTAATTATGATCCTTAATAATCTAAGAATGCTTTTCTGTGCAGTTTATTTTTTTTAAAGAAAAAATCCATGAATAACGGTTAGGAACTTTTAAAAATGCTCCTTGTATTCTCCAATTGGGCGACTTACAAATGTGTTTTACTATATTTCTGAATTCATTTATTTTTTTACTTTTATTTTAGAATTCTGTTTCAAAAAATAAACCTTTATATTTCTCATAATACATGTATATATAAATATACATACATATATCAAAATGAATAAAACAAAAAAACGTAAACTCAATATCATTACCAGCAAGTATTGTTAATAACATATTCTATTACTGGAATTAATATAAATGTGATTTGTATTAATACTTTTAAGATCACAATAGTATATTTTGTAAATATAAGGGTACTGTAGTGTAAAAGTTTTCAAGATTGCTAGCTTGTCAGGTTCATTAGCAATAAGGAATCAGTGTTTGATTGTAGAATCTGCTCTTCATTCTACTGTAATTTGCATACCACAAGTTTGTTATATTCGATCTAAATTATTCTTCTATTGCTATAACGCAGTCGAAATTAGCCACACATATTGGGAATTGTAAACAAGAATAAAAGAATAAAAAGAGGATATAAAAATAAATAACTTTTATTGAATGAAATATTGTTTTCCTTTATACCTTTTCTAATTCTTTTGAAAACAAAAAAGAATTATTTTGGTCGTCATTCTCAAAAGAGAATTCTATGTAATCGACATCCTGATTGGCCGGCAAAAATTTAGACACGACGCAAAAAATAAAAGTAATGCCTTCTGCCAGAATTGAACTGGCGACCTTCTGCTTACTAGGCAGACGCTCTGCCAACTGAGCCAAGAAGGCAGTCACATGTTTTTAATAGATTGTAAGTATTTTTAAACCCTACAATTTTATGACTTTTATTCGATTTTTTTCTGATTAATAGAGGATGTTAGAGTTATTAAAGTTATGAATAAAGTTGGTTTGAAAAAAGATTTGAGATGAAGTATGAAGATTTATAAGAGCTTTTGTAGAATTTTTTATTAAAAAAAATTGATTACATTAAAATCAAATAAGATTTTTATACTGAACTACTACTACTATTTATATTATTTTAAATTAAGAAAATTATATAACTTGAATTATATAGTGATTCAGATATTTAACTGTTGGGTTTATTATATATAAAAATATATCTATATTGAAATAGCTTAGTTGCTATCATTTTATTAGTAAGTATAATATATATAAACAATTAAGTAATCAGAATAATAATTATTACTATTGTAAATGAGTATTAACTACTGCTGTAATTAAAAATAGGTCTGAAGAAAATAATATAAGACCTCAGCTATTTCAGTCAAAGATGTCTACCAATTTCTTTATTACTTAATATACAGGTTTATTATGCACAATAATAATTATATTTCATATGATGATATCACTATAATATGAGATATATCAGTGAATTATTATAAATATAATTATAACTGATAAACATATTTACTTTCAATATTAATACTTTATTGGAACTACATATATTTATATAATTAATCATATATTAATTATTCCAAGATCATGTTGCTCTGATTAAGACTCAGATAGGATCGATTATCTGATCACAGTTATATAATTTTCCCAATCCAAAACAATATAAATAGTAGTAGTTGTGGTATTTCAGGTACGAAACAATAGAAAAATAATAAATTTAATAATAGAAATATATAGAAATACTTTGAGACTATATATAAGTTGTCTTTATTCATCAATAAAAAGTATCTCTTTTTATAAGAAAACACAATCTGCTCTTGTTATTACATCTTAGTTTCTGTTGTAAATGAGTATTGACTACTGCTGTAATTGAGAATAAGTCTGAAGGAAATAATATAAGGCCTCAGCTATTCCAGTCAAAGGTGTCTACCGATTACTTTATTATTTAACACACAGGTTTAGCATGCATGATAGTGATTATATTTCATATGATGATATCACCATAATATGGGATACATCAGTGGATTATTATAAGCATAATTATAACTCATAAACACATTTACTTTTGATGTTAATACTTCATTGGGACTACACACATTTATATAATTAATCATACATTAATTATCCCAAGATCACGTTGCTCTGATTAAGGCTCAGATAGGATCGATTACCTGACCCCAGTCATATAATTTTCCCAATCCAAAACAATATAAATAGGAGTAGTAGTTCAGTGTAGGAACCTGGTCAAACTTTGATACAAAATCTTTCTCAATAAACAAAACCTACACAAGTTCTCATGAATCTTCGTTCCTAATTTCAAATCTTCTATTCTTCCTCTTAAAAACTTCTTCAACTTCAACCACCACAACAGTTTCTTAAGACTTTCTTCCTTTACTATATTTGGTTATTAGAGTATATTTACTGCTTAACTAGTGTCGGTGTTACAATTATGACATCAAGTCATAAATCATACTTTGTTGTGGTGATTGAAGTTGAAGAAGTTTTTAAGAGGAAGAATTGAAGATTTGAGATTAGGAACGAAGATTCGTGAGAACTTGTGTAGGTTTTGTTTATTGAGAAAGGATTTTATATCAAAGTTTGACCAGGTTCCTACACTGAACTACTACTGCTATTTATATTATTTTGGATTGGGAAAATTATATGACTGGGGTCAGGTAATCGATCCTATCTGAGCCTTAATCAGAGCAACATGATCTTGAGATAATTAATGTATGATTAATTATATAAATGTGTATAGTCCCAATGAAGTATTAACATCAAAAGTAAATGTGTTTATGAGTTATAATTATGCTTATAATAATCCACTGATGTATCCCATATTATGGTGATATCATCATATGAAATATAATCACTATCATGCATGCTAAACCTGTGTGTTAAATAATAAAGTAATCGGTAGACACCTTTGACTGGAATAGCTGAGGCCTTATATTATTTCCTTCAGACTTATTCTCAATTACAGCAGTAGTCAATACTCATTTACAACACATCTGATTATATGATTTATCCTTCTTTCTACAACCTGCTGGATAGTACTCAGTTGTCTCTATAGTCAGAATAGTCTCCAAGTGACATATGCTTTTCATTAATCCTAAGCTTTGAAATTTGTATACATATAATGACTACTTGATTTAATATATTCTAATATGGAACAATTGTTCCACTCTGTTGTATCCAACATAACCGTAGATTTAAATTAAAAGTACAGACACTCAATAAATACGTACATTGAGTTACTGACAACTAGTAACAATACTAAAAGATATACCTTCCCTTATACAAGAAAATTATGTAAAGAACATACTAAGACAAATACTAAGGCTCTAGTTGATAACACTAAAAACATAAGAACTAAATCATAGAATATAATAGTAGAGAAACAGACATTATATGATATCATCATATCATTACCAAGCTAAATACAATGTCTATATAAATGCACAATACTAATAGATAGCTTATTAATAGAGTCAAACTTCTTCCTGCCAAAATTAGCAGTCATTTATTTTTGCTGCTGGAATTATTTCATCAACTTAGGACTAGGCTATGATTGTGGCAATTATTTGTCCACTTTTTTCATAAATTATTTGGATATTATTAGACATTTATAGTGAAAATATACATTAATTTGTCAGATTAATGTCAGAAGATTTATAAAGAAGTATAAGTGTTCTCTGTTATTATTAAGCTTTTCCGTGCTCTTTTTGAGTGTATTTATGAATTATATCTACAATAAAGAGGCTACTTTTACAGTAGTCCCTCGATAATTTCAAGGCCTAGGGAAGGCCAGATGCCTTGAAATTATCGAAGAGTGAAATTAACGAGTTCGGAGTATATATTTTCCGCCAACTATGGGCGGAGTTTACATTATTCTTTAATAGAAAAAAAATATATCAAGTAATGATTCGATATGATTCAATCCTCTGTTTAAATTCATTCTAGTTAAATATAACCCCTGACTGCATTACTGTTTTCTACCCCCTCTGTCTCGTAACTAATTATTGTTTCAAATTCTTATTCAATCAAATAATAACAGCTTCTCGGTATGCTTTTAGCTTATTATATAATGCTTATCTAATATCATTTTCAATTTTTTTGATACTTTAATGAAATCTATCAAATCCAGAACTAAACAATAAATATGACCAAAAAAAACGTTTTGCTTAATATTGCAAATCATCTTGAGATTTGCGATATGAAAAAGAAAAAGCTGTCTATGAGTAACCCTCAATTGGCTGACTGGGCAAAGAAAACCTTTGGCCTTCAGAAAGCTCCTGATGCTTCTACAATCTCGAAGATTTTGAAGAGAGGAGACCAGGGCTTGATAATGCAAGCCAACGTAAAGAACAGAAAGCGTGTTAGAAAGGGAAAATGGCCTGTATGTAATATATCTCAACATTATGCATTTTTGCTCTATATAAAAAATAAAATTAATCTTATTATATTGTCACATAACTATAGCAAATCAAAGAAGCAGTGATTCTTTGGATCAACATTGCTGAAAATAATCAGATTCCCATCACTTGGGAATTGATTAAGACTAAAGCTACTATTTTTGCTGAAAGAATAGGCGTTAAAGATTTTAATGCTTCTCAAGGCTGGATGGAGAAGTTTGGAAAGCGTCATTATATCAAGATGAATCGAATTCATGGTGAGGCTGGTTCAACAGACATAGAGTCGCTTCAGATTGACAAGGCTGCTATCAAAGAGAAGATAGAGGCTTATAGTGCTTGTGACATCTATAACTTTGATGAAACAGTACTTTTCTATGCCGCCCCACCAAGAACAACGATTTCCTGCCAGAAATTTTCTGGTTGGAAGGAAAATAAGAAGCGGCTTACAGTAGGCCTTTTGTGCAATGCCGATGGAACAGACAAGTGGTCTGACATATTGATGATTGGTCATGCAAGAAGACCAAACTGTTTTAACAAAAACAACAAAAAACAAGAGGCAGTAGATCATGGATTTTCTATGTATCATTACAACAGTAATGACTGGATGACACGATCAATCTTCCATGTTTTCCTCCATCGCTTTGATCGTTCAATGAAAGCGCAAAACTGCAAAGTGCTTTTGATCCTTGATAATTTCTCTGGCCATATAGTAGATTATGCGCCTACAAATGTTGAGCTTCTTTTTCTGCCTCCAAACACCACGTCCCATCTTCAGCCATTGGATGGTGGTATCATTTGGGCTTTTAAGGCTTATTTCAAGCGTAAACAGTATGCCAAGGCATATCAGTATATTGGCATGATTCAAAATGACCAACAAAATAAGATTGGGGCCATTGATAAAATCTTTGAAATTGATCAATTGTGGGCCATGAAATGGATAAGAGAGGCTTGGGAATCTGTCTCAGCAAAGACTATTGAGAACTGCTGGAATGCAACAATCTTTCACTTCATTGAAGACAAAGATAGTGAAGGTATTAGTAAAACAATTTATTGGTTATAATAGTACTATAATCTTTCAATTCCACTTTCTTAATATTCTAAATATAATTTATAGATGTAAACCAGGCTATGATTCAGCAAAGTCTGGCTGAAAAGGTTCTGGTCGAGGGCTTGGAAGAAACCCTAGACAAGATTGCTGGATCAGATCTTCTGTCTCTTGAAGATTGTCCGACCAGCGAATCAGATCCACTCTATGAGAGACAATGCACTCATAGAGTGATCAATGAGAATGAGATCGCTGACATTGTCATGAAAGAGTATGACGCAGACGACAATGCAGCCAACAACAACAGCAATGAAGAAATTGCTGAAGTGGAATCAGCAGTTCCTTTCAAGAGAACTTATTCTGCTTCGGAAAAGTTTGAGTGTGTTTGCACGCTTTTGGATATCTTGGAAGACGAGGATATTGACAGAGACTTCGTCAGTAAGGTTGAAGGCCTTAGAAACAAGTTCCAGAAAACCGCGAACTCAAAGCAAACTAAAGTAACCAGCTTCTTTAAGTCTTTTTAAAATTTATTCTTTTTCAAATAAAATAAAAACAATTTTCTATAAGAAATATATTTTTCTTCATTTAAAAATAGAAAAAAAAGTTAGCAGCCAAGTACAGTCAAAGCTTGATTTCGTAATATGTTTGTAAATAGTAACAATTGCAAATAACAATAAATAGTAATGACAGATAGAAATAATAAAATCTACAATAAAAACTTTTATAACAAACAAATTAGAATTATATTTATATTTTTCAAGTGAATAATCTTTACTAAACAATTAATATGAAACTTAATCAAAATATAGCACATATAGTTTTATTTTATTTCTGAAAAAAAAATGAAAAAAAAAATTTTAAAAAAAGTAAGCTAGATAACAACTTGATAACCCAGTGTTTGGCATGAAAACTTAACGCACTTGACATTGATGTCAATTACAAAATCATGAAAAGCTAGAATTAAAAAAATTTAAACCAAGCTGTAACTATATTGCTCTCGTCTGATTGGCTAATTTTTTTTCTTTAAGGATTCAAGGCCAAAAAATTTCGTGAAAGTGAAATTAACGAGAATCGTGAAAGTTAAGCCCTATTTTTCGAGTTGGGTCTTCAGAGCCTTGAAATTATCGAAGCGTGAAATTAAAGGGGCGTGAAATTATCGAGGGACCACTGTATTAGAGTTGCCTTGTGTATTTCAATACTATCAATAATATATAAAGTAGATTAAACATCGATTTTATGTCTTTTGAACTTTATTTTACCTTTAAACATTACACTATAACCTTTTTAACTAAGTATGATCCTTTTGAAGTAGTACTAGTTTTTTTGTAGTATGTTAAGCTACCTAGAGAGCCCAACAAGCTGACCGTAGGGACAAATTTCTCACCTTCTTGATCTTTTATACTTGGAGGTGATGGTATATACTAGTGAATAACCAAGTTCTTTCTGTTTCTTCTTGTAGTTCTATTTGATTTATTTGGTACCATAGTTGGTTAGATATTTATAAATGTATGACAGTAATAAAGATTGTGATTTGTAAAAAAAGTTGATGTATGAAATAGAAAAAAGTTGATTTATTATGAGTTTTATACCCAAGACTTAGAATGTTATGTTATTATTTTATTACATAACAAACATAATGACTTTTAGAGAGAATTAATTGATATTTCACCCTGATATTTTAGTATATTGTAGCTAAGAGTCTTATAATTGATTTTATGTAAGGAGTATTGAAAATTAATTATTATTGTATATGTCTTCATGAATTTGTAGGATAAGGTTCTCGCTATTCGACTAAAGTCGAAGTAGAGCTTAGACTTATCAAAAATGGAAGTTGTAGTCGGTATAAGAAAATATATACTCCGATAAGCCTAAGTCGAAGTATAAGCTTAATCGACTCTGTTAACAAGCTCTCTAATAGCAATAGAACAGCATCTTTCTGATTCTTTCACTTCTTCTAATAAAACAAAGTCTCACCGTACTCTCGTCTGCACTTGTTTTATTTTACATCTTATTTTTCCCTCATATATAACACACTCGCCTTTTTTTTTAAGAAAATCCTATCATAATATATATGTTAATCCATAGTTATATCCATCCTTTTGCCCCCCCCCCGAAAGCTATCATTATTGTTTCGTTTCTCTCCACACCTCACTAACTTGTCTTATTTTGATTTGTGAATTACAGTCTCTACAGATCGTGTTAACATGACATATATCATTTATTATACAACCTCCTTTACACGCAATTATAAAGTCAGATGTGTTTTCTTGGTTTTCGAGGGGAGAGGAGAGCAATATATACTGTATTTGATATAAAGATGAAACACAAAGGCATTTAATCTGCTCCCAGAGATACCCAAAGAAACTACTCGATCACATACAAGAGTATTTCAAGTCAGATTAGCCTTTTTTTGGGATTCAGATTCTAGAAACAACATGCTTATTACAGTAATATTACTGAGAAATAAGCACATCAGAATATAAATAAAATCTAGCATACTTCAGTCAATTAAGATCTAGATAGACTTCAAAAAAAAAGAGGTAGTATTATTGATGATTTTACCAAAATAATCCTAAAAGTACCACCTAAAACACCGTAAACAAAGTGTGTTTGGTTTTTATATATGTATTTATTTCTGGTGTTATTTTAGTTAAAATGCGATAACAACCTTTCCATGTATGTCAGCACGCATGTCTTTTTTTATTATGATTAATAATAAAGACTAATATGGTTACCATCTGAGAAAGTGCGATGGACACTATAATTCATTATTAAATAAAAGTTATATACAATATTTTTATTACAATAAAATAAATTTACCTCATAACCACTCGGGTTCTTCTCCAAGTAAAGCTTTGTATTGAGATACATATTCAAGTATAAGTAATTGATATTAGAAGTTTTTTTTATAAATATTATAGCAGTTTATTGTAAACCTACCTGATGGTATGTCTCTGCATCATAAAATACTCCAGCTGGAACAATCTCAGTAACAATTTTTTTCCCTTTGTAATGCTTCTCCTGAACTTCCGCTGTAACCTTTTCAGCTATTTCCTTTTGTTCTGGTGAATGATAAAATATAGCAGAGCGATATTGGGTGCCTCTGTCGGGTCCTTGTGCGTTGAGAGTAGTAGGGTCTACCCAAATCATACACACACACACATACACACACATACACATACATATCAAAATCCATATATAATATCTGAATATTAACTTGTTTATCTTTACTGTTTCAAAAGAAAATCTCGTTATTTGATTTATAATCACTAGCTATTATTCTTATCTTAACACATATATATTTAAACTTATGCCCTCTTATTTTGTTTACTCACCGTGCATATTATAAAAGAACTCTACAAGTTTGGCATACTCTACTCTTTTTGGGTCAAAGGTGATTTCCAATGCCTCTGCATGGTCTGTTGCTCCAGAGCATACCTTTATTAGCATTAGCATTATCATTATTGTCATTAATATCAAATATATAAACGCGGAAAAACAATTAAAAACAATTAAATAATAAGAATTGAAAGTAATCAATGAAAATGCATGTGTGTGTGTGTGTGCTTATGGCTAGAAAGAATTTGTGCAATCAATTATTCTATCATTACCTGTTTGTAAGTGGGGTTGTCGACCTTTCCTCCAATGTAGCCAACCTTGGTGGTGATTCCATCTTTCTTAAAATACTTGTTGTACATGTGCTCGACACCCCTTTAATTCAATAACACTCATTAACATGTCTTGTACATGATCGCTATCATTTGCTTATATATATATAGACTATGTACCAGAAGCAGCCAGCGGCAAATGTTGCTTTTTCAGTCATTCCTAACGTGGTTGAAAATGTACGTTGAGATGGTACAAGATGAGTAGCAAGTTGAAAGGTGCGCGACAATAATGACATTAGGAATAATTTTTCTTTTTCTTTTTATTTCTCTTTATTTTTATGTTTTGGGATTGTTGCTGCTCACCAGTGTACGAAGGAATCATCGAGGGAATTGCATCGAGGGAATTGACAAAGTTCTAAAATAAGGACTCTAGTTACTAAAAAGGATGTACTAAACGACCATATTTTATAAAGCTCATTTTCTATAGCCAAAATGAAACAAATCATTAGCAAAAAATAAAAGTGGATAGGGTATTGTAGTAAAAAAATTAAGAAACAGATGCTGAATAACAATCGGGATCTTATATGACGCAGTACAATTCCCTCGATGCAATTCCCTCGTACACTGGTGAACAGCATTTAAAGTATAAATACCGTAGTTATGCAAACTCCCAAAAAGAAACGTTTTTTTTTGTTCTGTGATATACACTTTCTAAAGGTACACATGAAACTGAACGTCCTATTGAGACGGTGGGTGCTGATTGGCGACTGCCTCGCCGGAGTGCGAAGGTAGAGAAAGGAGGAGAACAAAGTACAGACGTGAGGAGCGAGAGACATAGACAGAGGTAGAAGAGGACATATCAAAGGAAGTTTAGCACAGCATGATAAAGTGTCCCGCTTTACATAATTAAAATCACTTGGCCAATTGAATATTATTTTACATGTCCCAACTAGTGGTGTGCGTATATTTTGTCCTGAGAACGTATCCTCTTGGAGTAGCTTATTGTCCCTTGTTACCATACCTCCATTAAGTATTATAATATGTGTTAGCTAGTAAACACGGAAATAGAGACTAAATAACTCAAATGTTCTTCCTCGTCATATTTTTGTAAGCAGTTACATTACGTCTTACAAGTACCATGCGAGTCACTGTCGACAAAAAATAACCCACTTTACTATTATTGTAGTTCAAAAAGTAAAATCCCACTTTTACCTCACCTATGGTTTTTTTTTGCACTTAATGCAATACACCTTTTCCAACTTTTCCAGCACAGTACAAAAGTATAGATAGTGAAATTATTCAAATTTAATAGCTTACCAATTGGTATTTCGGGTAGACCCTAGCGATATTAGAGGGTATTCTTTTTATCTTCTTTGAATTCTTGTCCGTCTTTGTCTCATACGACAACCCTCCCGAATATCTACTTCTGTTTACCTTTTAATACTCCTAACTTGAATGTAATGGGTGAGCCTTTCAGGTATACTAATATCGTGTCACAACCAAGTATATGTTGGAAATTCAGGACATCAACAAGATCTCCATTTTAACAAACGATGCTCAAAATGTAACAATTCCATGTCCTCCAAGAAACTTTTATTGGGTAAATTTGTACGGGTCTATTTAAAAAAACCAGTAGTAGAAAAAATGGAGACTAGTTGTAATATTTACCTTGGGAGATTATGTCAGCTTACAGTTGCTGTTTGAGTGCGGTGATATGAGTGAAAGTGTACGACTTGCTCGAACGTCCGAAGTGAGGACTGGGAGCACAATTAGTAAGAAATATGTACCTGATAAAATGGAGTACTTGCAAGAGTAAAGGATAAAGATGTGTAGAGTTTAAAACTCTTGTCTGTCAATCGTGTTGTCTTTTATATGTGTGCGTATCATATGTGATTTTGATACATGAGAATATAGTATGTAATTAACCAGATAAATATATCGATTGAAAGATAGGTGTAAAGAGCAGCTATTTTAAAGATATTAATCATTCAGACTGTAGGAAAAAATATGAAAGTATTTTTTTAAGAAAAAATCTTACAGTTTCGATAAATAACTGGACAGAAATCTGCAACTATGCATAAAATCTCTCACATATGCAAGTGCCGAATTCTAATGTTTGCCATTTCCTACAGTGATAAATAAATATAAAGTCGCTAAGACTTAAATAAGACAAAAATGATACAAAGCAAAGCAAAGCAAAAGAAAGTATTCAATAAGGCAATATACTGTATTGTATTCCATTGCAAGCAAAACACCAAATAACACTTCTTCTTACTCTTCCTTCCTTTTGTTATTATATCAATGCAACCACTATATCTACTATGGCACAAAGTCACCTAAACACTTGCCTAAAATCTCATGTACAAACTTGCGCACAAATTCGCACACTCGCACAAATTCTCACACTTTTACATGCGCACAAAAATCCCTTTTTTTATATGGCTCAGTAAGTGGGAGTACCGCATGTGAAAATCGGAGTGGGTGTAATGACGATTGGGTTAAGGGTGAAACACGATTCTTCTTCTTGGTCTTCCATTTTATATAGTTTTTGGCTGTGAGAATTCTACATTTAACATATACGAATATCACAAGTACCTAATAGTAATAGTCGTAATAAAATATTCTGCAATTTTGGTTCTTCTGCAGTTGACATGATGTTGTTTTCTGTTTGAATTAATGTATTCCTATTAAGTACATTAGCAACCAAGGGTCTGTAAAATCCTTGTTTTGCTGCACATGTCAAATGTAGTTAAATACATACATATATATATACACACACACACACATATATATATATATATAGCAGTATTAATTTATTAAGAGTGAGTGAGTGAATAATAATAAAAAAATTGTTATCCAATTCTAGAGCCTTTTTTCTTGTATAACAAACATACAAGCAAAACAGAATAAACCGTCTTTTTTCTCTCTCTCTCGCTTTGAGTGTATATGCAGACATGGGTGTGGGTCTGTGGATATGGGTGCGTGAGAGAATAAAGCTTAGGAAACTCTGAACCTCTATCCATTTAGCTATCTATCGATCTAGTTATCTATCGATCTATCTCTTAATTCACCCCATTTATCCAATCCAATAGTAATGAACGAAAAATAGAGAGAGAGAGAAGGAAACTTGCACCCAAAATAATCAAAATCAAAATCATAACCATAACCATAACCATAATTATAATTATAATTATATTAGTAATAAATCTATTCTTGCCTTGCTTTGCTCCTATATTATACTTGTACATGTTTAGAATATAATAATACCCTTTATTATAAATCTACTTTATTTACCGTACACTTCAGCAGATGTCACTACGTTGGACTGAAGTGCACTAGGCAAAAGAGTAATGATAAATTTTTACTCGATATCTTTGCTTGATAAGAGTGCTTTAGAACCAATCATATCAAGAAACAATATATAATAAGCAAAAAAAAAGGATGGATATGACTTTTTGGCGGGCCTATACCCTAGTTACACTTTGAACAAATCATGGGCATTATCCTTAATTACTTTTTGTCTTTTTTATAATTTTTGGTTTTGTTTCTCCACTTGATCTTTCTTCAAAGACCAGCAAAATATCTTAAATCGATGTAGTACATTTAAGCTAATGAAGTTCAGACCTGTCTTGTTTCTTTTCTTTTTTTCCGTCTTTTTCCCTCTATTTTTCCTTAATATGTATATATTCTATCCCCACATAATTACACTATATTACACTACGATGTGCTAACAGTACCATTAGTATTTTTTTTCTTCTTTCTTGTTCTTCTTCTTAAATATACTTCAATTCTGTCATTCAAACTACAGTAGACAAATGCTTATTTAATCCTGTTCCCATGTACAAGCAGCAGTAAAATCAAACGCCCCAAAATATATCATTATTGAGAAAGTTCTATCAAATTTTTGATCTGCAGACATACTCTATCTCTACTTCTATTTCTATCTGTATCCCTATCTCTATCTCTATAGCTATATTTATACCTATACATCTGTATAGATTCATAATCGTATATCTGTTTATTTTAAATCATTCCTACGGAGAATTAGGTTGGCTCCTATTCATTGTCGTACTGACAAAGCCCCTCCGGACTAAAACAAAAAAAAGAAGCTACCATTGCTACTGTTACTTCTATTGCTACTGTTACTGCTGTTTCTTCTTTTTCTTCTTTATAGAATAATAATAATTATAATAATTATAACAATAAGTAAAAAACCTTATTAAGGCGGACTAATTAAGTTAATAAAGGTTATGTATCTCCCTTGTTAGGTACTGGGTTAATGTTTCTTTTTTATTACTATGATTTACTTTGATATTTTATTTGCGTGCGTGTGTGTGTGTGGGGGGATCCTGATTTTAAAATTCCTAAAGATTCCTTAGTTTTAAAAATTTAAGATTACAAAGTCCTTAAATCCTGGGGAATGATTCCATAATTACCTCTTGATATGTTGCCATGGTTACAAATACATATATCTACTATGCATTTATATATATTGTCTCTTATCAGATTTATTCTTTAAAGGAATATATATGTATATATAATACAACCAAAATCCAAAGTCCAAAATTCAAAATTCCAAAAAAAAACAAACGAAAACGAAATATTGGATCAGTAATAATTTCACTTTTGGTAATTTGCGCTTGTTAAACCATAATTTGTGGTGAGAACAAAGAGCGTACTTTGAAAGTTAAGTAAGTAAAAAAAAAAAAACGATCTTTATTCTCTCTCAATATGTGAATGTGTGTATGTGTATCTTTTATGTAACCTTTTTATTTTTTTTTAACTGGGGTAATGAGGTACCAAGAAGAACACGGCGTTAAACTATTATGCGATGTTTCACACGATGGAGAAATACCAACAACCAAAAAAAAAGTTACATTGATACATCTGTAAGATACAGGACACACAAAAAGAATAAATAAACTTGAAATATTAAATATCCTACACGTTATACACAGTAAGAGAGAGAGAGAGAGAGAGAGAGAGAGAAAGAAGTACAGAGAGGTACAAAGAAGCACAAAGAAGCACACACACAAGACAAAATGTCACATTTGGGAGAAATTGAAGGAAGCACTTTTCTTTTATATTAAAAAAAAAAGAAAAGAAAAAAGTAAACTGAATCCCCCCTTTAGATATTCCTTCATTTGTTTTTTAAGTTCACCTACCATAGCAAAAGATTTGGTTTCTGTGATCATGTTAAGATATTGATTACATTATAATACTAAAATATTTACATTTATGCCTTTACAAGCCTCTGCAGCAATAAATCGTAATCTTTTATATATTATAGTATATATAACATGCTATACATACATACATACATACCTACATACCTACATACAAAACGTGTACAAGAGTATCTTTGACAGTCACGGTGTATAAGATGATTATGGTCTACAGTTTGCTTTTTTTGTTTTTATTTTGCTCTCTTGGTTACGAAAAATAAAATAAAATAAAAATATTAAAGGAATTGTTATACTTGCTAGACTCTGTCAGCAATGCGCACCATCTCACTTGTGAATCGCCTGAAATGGTCCTTTTCAGGAAATATGAATCCCTATGCACTTGTCATAGGAGACGTAGACAATGATGGTGTACGTACATGTGAATGACTTGATTTGCAAATGAATTGTACATATAATTATGTATATGCATAAACATTACTATCAGTATTAAAGCTAAAAATTTATATATATGCATGCATGCATGTATGTTGTATACTACGCATAATTAATATTCTTGATATATTTAAACCCCAAAATGATAATAATAAATTCTAGGATAATGAGTTTGTCATTGGTAATTTGAATGGAGATTTAGCTATTTTTAAAGGAGAATGCGAAGTTGGATTACCCATTTATGTCTGTCGGAATCTTGGAACGGTAAATATGATAATTCAGTATTATATAATGTATATTGTATATATAGGCGGATGTAAAGAAGCATAAAGGCTGATATTTATGCATTAATATTTTTTTGTATTATAGATTACTTGCATTGCTATTGGTGACGTGAGAAATTGTGGAAAGGTTTGAATAAAGTCAGATTTAATCAATAAGGAATAATACTAACAATACTAATACTAATAATAATAATAATGGTGTGTGTATTTGTGTAAAGGTAATATAAATACATAGCTGTAGCAAGAAGAATAAGAATAAGAAGAAGAAGAAGTGTAATGATTTATAGTACATTATTTTATTGTATCTTACTTTATATAAAAAAATCAGAATTCAATTGTCTGTATCAATGCCGAAGGTCTTGCACACATATTTGATATCCCAGATTCAAGAACAAAACAAGACCCGACCAGCAACAACAGCAACAACAACAGTAATAGCACAAACCTTCAACACAGCCACCAATATCAGCAGCAGCATCAACAACAACAACAACAAGGGTCTGCAGGAAATTATGCTCAACACCAAATGTCTGTTGATGAATACCTAAGACACGGACGTCGAGCATCTGATACTGCAAGTATTCAAGCATTCCGTCGTATGATGGGAGGGACGGCCAACAGCAATAATAGCACTGGTAACAACAATAATGGTGATAATGATTTTTTGTGATTTTCAGTCCACCCCACCTTAATAGGAGGTACCTTTGACTTCTAATTATTTACCTACAGTTGAAGATAATTTTTCTTTTTCCTCCACTACTGCTCCTGCTCCTGCTCCTGCTCCTGCTCCTGGATCTAATCCTGCTACTTCTGCCCCTTCTGGAACTGGCGCTGGAACTAATGTTGGTGTTGGTGCAGGTGCAGGTGCAGGTGCGGGTACCGGTGGTGCCAATGGACAACAGCGCAACATTGGA